TTATTATTATTATTATTATTATTATTATTATTATTATTATTATTATTATTATTATTATTATTATTATTATGCTCTGATGCTCAGGAGTTCCACTCCCCCTCCCCACCTGAAAAGAAATCTGTTCCAAATGCAAAACACAAGCAGAGGAGAGGAGTTTCAATTTTAGGTTCACAGCACCAAACAGCTTTAGTACAGAACAGTTGAGCTAAGCTACGCCCAGGCTCCTTGCTGTCTTCTTGCTAACACAGCAAATACTCTTTCAGTTTCCAAACAGCTCTCAGCTCTCTCAAACACTGACAGGACGCTAGCCAAATGAATACCGATGGATGTTGGTAGGCAGAGGCAGAATTCCCCCCACCCTTATTTTCCTCCCCCAAAACTAAGCCCAACCACATAGCATGGGTATCCAGCTAGTATAATATATATATCCTCTTGTATCAGTAGATATTACTGATCAGAGTTATGACAACAAAACAACCATCAAAAGAAGTAACTCACCTGACATTTCACTCTGTGCATCTGGAATGCAGTCGAAGCTGTCTGCCACCACTCAATGTTTGTTCCTGGGGAATTTCCCCACCGCCAAACTCCCCAGATTCAATTGTGGTTTTTGAGAACTGTTATTTCCACCGCCACAGGATCCAGATTAGTGGTGTGTCTCGTCAACCTGGACTTCAGATTCCCGTCAATTTTCTTCTAGAATAGAGGGTTGTGACTTTCTGAAGTGATACAGGGGCGTTCCAACGACTCAGTCACTTTAAAACAAGACTGTCAAGCCATTTCTTAAATACTGATGTTTTATGAGTCGAAAACCACTTGATGGAACATTATCAAGCAAAGCAAGCAAACAGCAAAAGGGGGGTTGGTGGAAAATACATGTTAGGTACTCAACTTCTTCCCCTCTTTCCAAATTTGAGCCGCAATAGTTTTAATGGCCAAGATGCAATTAAAGGAAATCACAGCCGTCTAACAAGGCAGGGAGAGAGAGCATCGTTCAGACGAAGGCATTTCGGAGATTGGGGCACGGGGGTGGTGGGGGTAAAACTGTTGCAACTGCATTCAAGAAAGGAGGCGGTCAGTTCGCAGGAATCTCGCTGCGCTGGACAGAGACGAAGGAATCGAAGGGAAAACAGGGATCGCATCTGCAAAGCGCTCCAAGCAACAACGCCGCAGCCCACCCCCCTCCAAGGAGAAGCGGGGAACGCAGTTAGGAAAACCGCTAAGTCTTACAAAATCGTCTCCAGCCGAGCGTTTACTCAGGCGTAGTAGTAGGCCTCTCGCAACACCGACCCAGCAGCCAAATGCAAAGCAAAGCGAAAGCGAAAGGAGCGGGCATTAAAAGAAGCGAACCGGTTTTGTTTTCTTTTGCGGGGGGGAGGCAGAGCGCCGCACGGGCGGGCGCAACAACCCACCTCAAAAAAAAAAAAAAAAAGCAAGACGGATTAGAAAACCCGGCGGAGCAAAAAAAAAAAAAAGGAAGGCGAAGGGGGAGGAGCGAGAAAGAGGCGGAGCCTTCTCTGCTGAATGACTCGGAGGCGCAGCCAACGGGCTCGGCGGTTAGACGCCCGGCGGGCGGAGCCGGGCGCTGACCAATGGGAAGCGGCGCGTGGCCCGGAGCGAACGCCTCAAATCCTCTGGGCTCTCAGCTGATTGTTTCTCGGGAGCAAGAGTTGGTTCGGCAAAAGGGAGCCGGCGCTGCAGAGAGGCGGGCGGGCGAGCGAGTGAGCGAGCGGAGGAGGACAAAGGGAGGGCGGCGGGGCTCTTCCCCCTCTTCTCCGGGCGACTTGCATGGCGCTCTGATTCGTCCTGCCAGAACGAAGCGGGACGGCATTCTCCCCCCGCGCCCCTGAAATTGCACTTTAATCTCTTTTTTTTTTTTTTTACACCCGCCCCCCCCCCCCCCCCCCCCCCCTTTTGTGGGGGCCGGGGCGATGGGACTCGCCGGGTCCGATCCTCTTGCTCCCCCCTTCCCGGCTCTGGAGTTGGGGCTGAGCGTCCTGTACACGCTGCTCTACGCCGGCCTCTTCCTCTTCACTTACCTGCAGCTTTGGCTGCTGTTCTACTACCGGGAGAAGCGGCTGAGTTACCGCACCGTGTGCCTCTTCCTTTGCCTGCTCTGGGCAGCGCTGCGCACCGTCCTCTTCTCTTTCTACCTGCAGACGTCCACCCGAGCCGTGGAGCTCCGGCTCCAGCCTTTCCCACACTGGTTGCTCTTCTGCTTCCCGGTCTGCCTGCTCTTCGCCACCAATTGCCTCCTCAACCTCTACTTCGCCGAGGTAAGTACTAAGTGGTCAAGCTCAGTTTGGCCGGCGCCGGCTCTCTCTTTTTTTTTTAAAAAAAAAAACTATTTGCAACGGGGTTGCCGTAAACAAGAGGGGGGCACAAGGAGAGGCGGCGAGCCGGGCACGCCTCCCCTTCTCCTGCGTGCTGCTTTTTCTCCACCGTTTGCTTCATGTTTACCACATTCTGGTGCATCTGCAAAAAAAAAAAAAAAAGCCTTTCGATAGTTTACTCGCCCTCCCACCGCCTACTACTGTCTCTCAACGAACAAACAAGCTTCGGGGAGCCCCCCTTCCCCTCCCCGGTCGAGCCGCGAGCAAAACCGCGCTCCAAGGCAAAGCCCTCCCCCGGGGTGGCATACAGCATCTGAACCGGCGGAATTGCGGTGTAACCAATGTTGCCCTTAAAGTGCACACACACACCCATTTTTTTTAAAAAAAATTAAGAATCCTTCTTGGTTCTGGATGCAGCACAGTTAATGCGGCGACTTCTTTGGAAAGCATAGATGAGTATTTCTTTAAGAGCGAAGCGAATAAGCAACAGCCTAGGTTGCTCAGCTGGGATAGGGACGGCTGACAGCCATTACGTCATTGCTTTGGGCTTTCTTCTCCACCTCCTATTGTTGCTGCTTTCTTAAAATATTATTTTAAAAAAAGACTTGGCTCTTTCTCCCCAACCCTTCTTTTTTCCCCTGCAGAAGACAGCATCTTGCAGCATGGTAGTTTTGAGTTTTTTTTTTAAAACCTGACTGGGTCACATCTGAAATGTTGATATGATCTTTGTGTGGCTTGCTGGATACATTTCCAAACCTACACACACACACACACACACACACACACACAAGCCTCTTGAGGCTTGCTGATCAGCTGTTTTCAAATCTTTAGTGTCATCTTTGCTTTTTAGCTTCCTGTGAACTCCTCATCTATTGAAACAAAGCCAATAGCCAAATCCTTACAGCTGCAGAAAAGATTTGGGTGGCCTTATAGGGTCCTACATTGCAATCTTATGCCTAAACAGCAAAGAATTTTTTGGCATTTGAGAAAGATAATAATATTTGTGCCATAATACAATCTACTCTCTAAGCTGCATCTTCCCTTATAAGGTGGATGGTTTACTTTCAAGCAAAGTACCTGAAATTACAGCTTGTTTTGTTTCAATTCTGCATGCCTGGTCAGTGATCTAAGTAAACTTTTTCTACCAAGGGCATGTATCATCTCTATGTTGCACTTCCTCCAGTTATTGGGAAATTGTTACTTCTCGGACAAACCTGCAGACCATCCTTTCCCTCACACTGCAAAACTGTACTGTCACTTAGGAGGCGGTCTCGACAATGACTTCATTCTCTGAGAAACTCAGGGGTGTTCACATGATGAGCACAAGAGAGCTGCTGTTCTTGCCATGAAAATGAAAATGTTTGTTTTGTGAGCAAGCCTTAACATTTTGGGGAGGACAGGGAGCTCAAACTGGCTGACATCGCACATGTGGGTGGAATTGGAATGGAGAAGGGTTTTTTTTTTTTTTTTAAACTGGGTATTTTTGAAGGCTTGGTGCTGCTGTTTTGCACTAAGAAACACAGGGAAAACTGTGAACTCCACAGTCAATATTCACCTAGCATGATAAAAGTCACAAAAGTCACAAAAAGGGAAAGGGGCCATCTAAGGTGATACCTATGTGAAAAGAGGCAAATAGCTTCTTAAATCTGGAGCACCTCTACTGTATTGGCCCATTTTTAAAATAACCCATTGCAATGAACAGACAAAATATTTGAATAGTATAACCAGCTATAATATGGAGTCAGATCTCTGGTGTTGGTTGATTACTAAAAAAAAAAAAACACCAATAATGCAATACAGTTTGTTCCTCTTTCCTTCAAGGGAGGCAAGCCATGTCCTTTTCTTTTAGAGAGAAAAAAATGGAAACCTAAAGTTATTTGTTCCTTATTAAGAAATAGGGGAACTTGGAAAAAATTGAGTTTATCTAAGTTACTTGATCTTCTAGAATCTAGAACAACCTTTGTCTATTGTACTAGCAACGAATGATGCAATTTGTGGTTTATCTGTTATGCAGGATACTAGATTTGAGAATGCTGGGGATGACTGCACTTTAAATAGAGACTGTATCCAGCTTGTTAAAGTTTAAGAGTGTGAGCAAGTATTACAAAGAGACAGTAACAACCCATGATAATGTTTGATAAATCCCCATGTAATATGAATCCCAAGAATGTTGGGTAGAATGGGAGCTGACTAAATCAGTGAAATAGCTGCTGAGCAATAATTTAGGATAAATGAATGACGTCACCTCCAGACAAGATAGGCAGCATCTCAGTTGAATAAATAAACATTCTTAATTTTGTCAATGCTGAAGAAAATGATTCCGATTTGCAAGATCTTCTATAATCCAGAAGAACAGGGACTAAGATCAAGTCCTCAAGCAAAATTTGTCATCGTGGATTTTATACCCATCTCCTTGAGCATATATTTTTGCCTATAAAAGTAAATTCACTCTTGAATTATGACTGATTGACAATTCTAACCACAAATTCTAAAGCCCATTAAAGGAAATACCTATTATGACATAGCCAAATAATATCGCAATTTGCAGGATATGGAAGATTGGGTGAGATTAATCCACTGCCAACCTGGTTGGCCACAAATCAAGTTCAACAGAATCGAGATGGCTTTATTTCAGTGCCCTCTGAACCATTTACATTTGACCCCCAATTCAAGCAATGCTGCCATTCAATCCCAATAACCAGCTCACAAAACGAACAACTTTACCCCCTGGTAAGTTTCTTTCGTGCAAATAAAGTGTAATTGGGAACTGTGCATGAAGATGCAGGAGTTTAAAAATATTAATTTTACAGATAAGAGATACCAAGCTCAAAAATGTCTCAGGTAGAAAAGGCAGTGCCTTTGCTGGAGAATTAAATAAAACTTACCATTTGAACTAAACATATATATTCAAATAGAATATCACAGATGGGAAGAAAGAGTGGTGCAGAAAGCTTTGCTGAGTTCAGATATCTTCTCTTTCTTGTGCCACCTTTTCTAAAATACATGTGCTGTATATTATACGTCTCTGAGATATAAAATACTGTATATGATCTCTTACGTGTGTATGGCAGGAAATGTTTTTAAATGCAAAGGAAAGGAGTGTTTGAGAAAAAGGTTGGGTTCACACATCATGCTAAGCTATGACGTCTTGTTTTCATTTATTTTCTTTAGCCAGGCAGCCCCAGTGACAATGTGCAGACCCTGTAACAGAGTAAAGGAGAGTCCTAATATAAATGGGGGAAAGAGGGGGAAAGTTTTCTATATATTCAAGCAGAGACGTCAGTTTTTGAAATATTTTGAATTAAAAAAACATTGCTGTGTAGAGAAGTACGATTCCAAATACTTTATTCACTATCCAGAGTCTGTATAAGTATTTGGGCTATGTTACTTGTTCTGTGTGTGTGTGTGTGGTGGGGCAAAATTAGCTTATTAGATAAGGTTTGAATAGAGTATTCAAATAAACTTAGATTTTCTGATGTGTAGGAAAAATTATTTTTGTGGGAATATTGGGAACATGGGCAATCAAGCCTCATACAACTTTGAAACTACCTAATGTGCCTGAAGTGGGACATTTTCTAACCCACAACCTTAAAGATAAGAGTGCCTGGCCATTTTGAGGGTATTGTTAGGACTAGGTTCAACAAACAGAGAAAACATGGAACCCCCCTCCCCAAATCAATATTTTGCTCTCCCAGCTAGAACTCTGGATTACTCGCAAAATGAATGCCTTCCTGGTAATAGAGGCAGCATTGGCCCTTTCTTTTGTACAAATGATCAAAGCTATAATTTCTTTTTCTTAGGAAACAATATTGACCAAAAATGTATCAGTGTTTGCAGTCCTTCTACTTGGCCTAGAAAGTTAGTTTAGCCTGCTTAATTAATTAATTAAATCATTCATTTGTATACAAACTATGGTACATGTGAACGTTCAGAATTCTATGCAGGTTTTCAGTCGCTTAGTACAGTGGTCCCCAACCACCGGGCCCCAGACCGGGACCGGTCCGTGGATCATTTTGTACCGGGCCACCTATTTTGCTTGGGCGCCGCCATCTTGTTTCGATGGCACTTGAGAAAGTGCTTCCGGTCTTGTCAGTCGTCGGTTGGAAAGCGGCGTTTGGGTGCTGAAGGAATCCTCGCGCCTTAGTTTTGTCGAGGGGGGGGCAGCTTCGAACAAAGAGCCATCCTGATGGCGGTGGAGTCTCGCGTTACTCAGGAGGAGATTAAGAAAGAGCCCGAAAAGCCCATCGACCACGAGAAGGTACAAAGGAGGAGTTGAAGGTGGCGGGGAGAAGCGGGGGATGGATGGATGGCCGGTCGCTCGGCTCACCTTGCCTTGGTCGTGCGTGCTGATGCCGGTACTGGTCTGTGGATCGGTCCGTGGATTGTACCGGTCCGTGGTACAAAAAAGGTTGGGGACCACTGGCTTAGTAAATCTCTCTTTGCAATTAAGAACAGTAGATAGATGGGATGTCAGTTCCCATCCATGTGCTGATCCCAGAACTAGTCACATTTTGAGGGAACCATCTGAAGTGGAGAGACTTCATTAGGTTAGAAATATGATTTAGAACCTTATATGTGGAAGAGATTATCAAGTAGGGGCTTTTTTTTTACAAAGCTTGCTCTCACACTGTGTGGAGGGTAGAATGAATTGAGAACTTCCCAAATAAGACTTGACATTTTTTGAACCTCCACTGGTCCTTGAATTCAGAATGTCAATCAAAGAATCAGTTTGAGTGCTACTAGTAACAATTTATGGAAAGTAGGACCTGCCAACAGGAAAACCAAGATAAGAAGGAAACCTTCATATTGATAAACTGAAGTTGGCCAGGTGGCATTTCCTTGCAGACTGAAATTTGGCTTGTATCTCTGCTTTCTCTGCCACCTTTCTTGCCTTCTCTCAGCTCACCCATTAACAGATTGCTGGTGTGTCTGACAAAGAGTCAGAGTGGAATCCTAACTCTCACAGATGTTTAACTTGAATTAACCTTAATGTAAACACAATAGCAAGGAAGCAGTATTTGCAATATCTTCAGAACCTTTTTTTTTTTTAAAAAAAAAGTTGAATCTTCTGCACAATAGGTAATTAAATACCACCCCTTTAGTAAAGTGTGGGGTAGTAAAAAGGGATTTCATGTCTGTCAGTTTATAATCATATAAAATTGAAGCCCCACTATTATCTGGGTGTGGTGGGTGTTATATCTTTATCAAGTAAAGAGATTTGCTTCTCTTTATTTAACAAACTATGGCTAACGGGGAAAGGATATGTGATTCCCACCAGTAAGTAGATTTCGCTGAGTTCCTTTTCCAGTAATTAAAAAATTAAGGGAGATATTGGGAAGTTCATTGTTTCCTCTTGCAAGTATGCATATGTTTAAGTTATATATGTTTCCTCTTAAAAGTATATCTAGAAGACAACCAACACAAGAATAGATGGAGCAAGTTAATGTGGCACCATTGGAAAATCTAAAAGAAAAGGTTTAAGGCAGATCATTATGGAGATAACCTATCAGATCACTTAAGAGTTGCTTCCAACTTGGTAGCACATAATCAGTCTCTCAATGTATACATTCTACTCAACTGTGTTTACCACAATTAAATAAAAGTTTGCATTGTCTTCCTTCCAACTGCTCCAAAAGACTGATTTTACCGCCATCTGGCCAGGACTTTATATACTCTTCAATTAAACAGATAGCTGTATCCAAATCTATGTGTTGTGAGCAAATTCTGATTTTAAGCCATTTTTCTTCCCACCAAAGTACCGTAGCTAGTTTTTTTATTTGAGGTTTGGGGTCATCCTGTTTTCCATCTTTTGCCAGATCTTTCCTAATATGGCTCCTGAGGCTAAAATGTTGAAACCAGAGATCAGAAACAGTTGTGCCAAATCCCTTCTGCATTTTATAGAATGGAACCAAATAATGATGATGATGAAGAAGAAGGAAGTAGTAGTAGTAGTAGTAGTAGTAGTAGTAGTAGTAGTATATGGGAGGATCATCTGTTTTACAGTAGAAATTCATGATATTTATCTGCTACCAAAGGACTGTTCTGACAGTAGTTCCAAAATATGGGAAGCATTGCACCAAAGCTAGAATTCAGGTATGGTAGTTAAGCAAATGTTGCAGGTAGTCCTCGAGTTACAACGGTAACTCAGCCTAGCCATTACAGTTATAAATCATAATGGTCATAAAATAGGTCATCGCATGACTGACCCAATTTTACAATCTTTTTTTGTGGTGGTTGTTAAGCAAACCATTTTTCGCTATGGCATGTTGTTGCCCCAAACCAGAAGTGCAAAACCATCATAAAACATGGTCACATGACTGTGGATGCTGCAGATGAACATGAATGCATACAAGTTGCCGAGTGCCTGAAGTGTAGTCATGTAATGGGGGGGAGGGGGGGATGTCTATTGGAACTTTGGATCCAAGTTGTAAGTTCCCTTTGTCAGGTCTGTCATACCTAAGTGACCAGTCTACCTGTATGAAAAAAATATCAACGCAGAACTGGAATTTTCTCAAATTGTCTTGACTTCTGAGAATCTCAACATGGAGCGTAATAGAATAAAAGCCAGACATTCTATTTCAGTTACAATTTTTCACCCCAAATGTTCACATTGAAATCACGGTTTTCAACAATGTGGTGCTCCAGATGACTTAATGGAGCAGGCCTGCCAGTTGCATGCAAAGCAATACATTCTTACTTATTGATCTACAGTAGTTTTAATTGGGATCCTTCTTATTGTTGATCCCTTTGAAAGGTTGCATATACCAGGAAAGCATTGCTTAAAATAAAGTCATACAGAAAAGGCATTTTAAGATCTTAATTTAGAAACCAGAAACTGCTTGTTATGAATTGGTCAGCAAAAATTTTCTGTGAACGTTTAATAAATAGGTAATATTTATATTATACCAAAGAAGGGGGGGTCAAATTATTCTCCAAAGCACCAGAGGTCAGGACAAGAAATGATGGAAACTAATCAAGGAAAGAAGCAACCTGGAATTAAGGAGAAACTTCCTAACAGGACAATTAACCAGTGGAAATCGTGGGCGCTTCATCACTGGAAATTTTTAAGAAGAGACTAAACAGTCACTTATCTAACATGGTATAGTTTCTCCTGCTTGAGGAGGGGGCTGGACTAGAAGACCTCCACAGTCCCTTCCAGCTCATTCTATTCTAAAGGATTCTAATGTAAAAGGAGTGTTTTTTTATTTTTTGTTTTTGACTCCTTTAATTGCAAGTGTATGTCACAGTCAGTTGCAAACATCTAGATTCGGAGATGGTTCACCGAATGGAATCCCACTTCCACGGGGCTGGCTTGTAGATACGGTCTTCAATTTTAGGAATGAATAAAGAATCGTGTATATTCTCCATGTTTTTAGACTATGCTTTTATATTGGAGTTTATGATTATAGGCCAGAATAGAGCAGCACTGTTACTCAAACCTATTCATGTGTACTTATAGCTAACTCTACTTGATTCTGTGTACATCACTCAACTTGATACGAGTGTACTTTTTGCAGATAATGTATAAATGTATGTATGCACACATGTCAATATTTTACATTGTGCCTTATTTCAAAAAATCTTTAAAGCCTGTCCTGCCTGATTTGAATAATGGGGTCCCTTAGAGTATTTTGGTTCTTCTGTACCAGTATCATTTCTGGCTACTTGTTCTTAATATGCTTATCATATTATACTCTGCTGAGAATTGAACAGAATAAGTTGAATAAATAAATGTTCTATTTATGCATTTTGACATTTTTGAAAACTGCCATAGAAACATCATTTAGATATAGTATACAAATGTTCTGGATAGATAAATAAATGAACCATAATGAGGTCAAACATTTGGGAGAGCTCTGAATTCCCTCTAATAGCTAATTGGCTGCAAACCATGGCATCTTTTCCATTCACCCTCCTTTTTATGCTTCCAATAGAAAAATTCTGTATTTGTGCTTGCATATTATTAAAACGTTTTTGGTCCGCTGTGACTCTTGAACCTGTGCAATATATAATTTTTTTCTTAAAGCATTTTCTTTTTTTAAAGGTTATTTTCAAAGTCAAGTGCGCAGCTGAGTTCAACAAATACAAGTAAGTTTCACCTTAATCTGTAGATACTGTAGCCAATTAATCAACGTATTTTAAAGATGCCCTTAGTGAATTGAAGAGCCCAGTGTTCTGGAGCAGACGCTGTATCACCATCTGTTTCTTAGTTTGCATTCTTGCACTAAGCCAGATGTTGAAGGTTTGACGGTTCAAAGTAATGCATAACAAAGTATAACTTTTCCATGGAACCTAGTAATCTTAACTGCTTTATAGCATTCTACAATAGCTCAAAAGTTGCTTGTATAAAATAGGATTTTTTAAAAAAATCTGATTATATCACTTTGACAACACAGCTTTCAGAGCAAATACGCTGTGAGTTTACTTCTAATAGCAGGACTGGGCTATGAAGCAGATTAAGCAGATGGTGTCCACCTGCAGATGGTTGTTGGGTACACATTGGGAATGGTCTTACACCATAAAAATGTGTATCAAACATGTTTATTGTTCGTATAAGGGCTGCATTATTCAGATACGATCATTAATCCAAAAGAAGAAAGCAAAGATTAAGAGAATGGATCAGAAAGAAAGCTGTGCTTTTTCTTTTCTTTCCAGGACTTTCTTGTACATGGGGTCTGGATTTATCAGCCTCCTCTTCATCTTTGTGAACCTAACATGTGCATTATTGGCACAAGGTAATCTTCCAGAGGATCAGTTAAGCTGGACGGTTTTTGCCCGGGCCTTGATCAATGATAGTCTCTTCATTCTTTCGGCCATTTTGTTAGCTTGCTGCATGTGCAAACTTTCCAAAGTGTCTTCAGCCAATGTTTACCTCGAGTCCAAGGTAAGGAAGCAGCAGCAGATATTTCTTTATTACAACCTGTCAGGTTCTGAATATGGAGATGATCCGTATTTCAGACACGGAATAAAATCGTTTTCAGGGGATATGTACAAAGATGTTATATTCCACTTTAAAGATTGGAGATGTGGGCCACTTTAAAAAAAAATTCTTTTAAAAACCCTACTAGCCTAAAAGATTAGTAACAGCTGGGTTAAAGTATATCTGCAGCTTTCAATGGAAGATCAAATATCAAATTACTCTTTTTCCTATTGCTTTTAAAAACCTGTGACAATTCTGTGCTCACTTTATGCCTTGGGGGCAGATTTTTGTTTAATGGTTAGGTAAGGAAGTTCCTAGAAAGTGGGAAGGGATTAAAGTTAATAGGCTTTTTAAAAAAAAAAAAAATTGTGAAATAGTGTTTGAAGAATGCTCACCCCAATGGAGCAAAGCCAACTCAATGGAATGAGTTGGAATGGAATGGAATGGAATGGAAGGGTTGTGTCTCTGTATGTGTATCCATGCAGGGCTTTTATTGCGTGCTTGCAGCATCCATCTTGATGTTTTTGACCCTGGGGACACTGCTGGAATGGGTGGGACTGTTCCCATGCAGTTTAAGGGGGACTTAAGCTACCTCGTGCTCACTTAGTGATGAAAAGAGAAAAAGACAATCTAGCAAGAAGCAAAATGAAGCTTTCTGAGAAAATATGCCCCTGGTTACAAAACTATTATATTTACTTTTCTGCAATTACTTAGCTTTGCCTTCTTTATCTTTTAACTATCGTTGGTGCAACATTCTTGTTCCTTGCTTCTTGTTGTCTTTTCACACTACTGTTTCTTATCTTGGTCACTTTAAGATGAATGAACTTCAACTCTCAGAATTTCCCAGCCAGCTATGCTGGCTAGGGAATTCTGGGAATTGAGGTCCACACATCTTAAAGTGACCAAGGTTGAGAAACCTGGCTTTACACAGTTTCTCTCTTGGAGAGTTTATACTCAGCCAAAAAAAGACCATATTTGCTAGCCTTATAGAAATTTGCCGACAAATATTCTTTTGTTTCAACCAAATATTTATCAATACCACCCAAGATAGAAGCGCCATAATTTTGGGTATGGTATTGGAACTTTATACATGTCATGGTCATTCCAGTTGCTGTTTTCTGTATTCTTTTGATAGGATTCCCTATTTGTGGGAAGTGAATTGTCAAAGTCTGTAGAGATTCTCAGTCATCCAGGTCATGGTTGTCCCAAAGATGCTTTTTCAGGAGGCAACTGGACTTTCTTGTTTTTTCTTTGAAGAGGTTTCGCTTCTCATCCAAGAAGCTTCTTCAGCTCTTGACAAGATCCTTCCATTCCCCACTATCCTGTCAGAGCTGAAGAAGCTTCTTGGATGAGAAGCGAAACATCTTCAAATAAAAAACAAGAAAATCCAGTTGCCTCCTGAAAAAGCACTTTTGAATTGTCAAAGATATTTTCACTGTAACCTGCAAGCAATCCATATAACAACTGCAAATTCTGCTTGTTTGGAAATAACTCTTTCATTTGCATAAATACAAAGTGGCAAACAATGCTGATGCAGGTCTTTTTACAATCAGAAGCCATCAGCGAAGTATGAATTAATGCTGCTAAGCAGGAAAGTGTTTTGAAAAGAAGCGTTGTCCTGCTTCTTAGCATCTTCACATTATGGATTAAGAGCCTGGTTCTTGGTAAACCAATGATTAGTGTCTGGAATTATTCAGTCTTCTGCTGAAGTCTAATGAGCAATAGCAGTTTATTCTAGTTAAGAGGGTCATTCCAGATTGGATCAGTGATAGTAGAATATTCAATTTCATTGTACACATGTTATGCATTGACAATAAATGTTTAATTTGATTTGATTGTTCAGTATTACCAGCATCATGTCAGAAAGGGAATTCCTGCAGCTAGAATCAAACATGAAGTCGACTCGGGAGTCAAACCTCTCTCGATGAAGTGCATTCTAACTATTGAACAACTGTAGATTTGCCTGTATCCCCGGCAAATAATTTTGAAAAAGTAAAGGCCTCTCCTATTGACCTTACTGCCCAGAAATATTCGTACTGAGCTTGGCAGTTGTAGCCATGTAAAACCTTTAAACTAGTTCTGCAGAAAACTGATAATCAAATCTTCAGAACGGAAATGTCATGCTTCTGGTATCATGCATCAATTAACAATTCAGTTTTGCATTAGTGCAAACCTCTGGATGCTCATGAAGGGTGACCCTGCATAGAATTCGTTGCATTAGTCAAATTGAGATGTATGCAGTTCCAAGGCCAAACATCTTGGAAATACCTACAGTTGGCATGCTGGATATGATTATGCAAATGCTGTCTTGGCCACCGTTACCATCTGAAAATCCAGAAAGAACTTTAGGTTAGGCAGCACTCCTAAATTTCAAAATGCTGTTGCAGAGGAGATACACTAGTTAGTTTCTGAAACTTCGTAGCAAGTGTATTGAAAATATAGCCAGCTTTACATTTTTTTTCTTTGGAGGAAAAGGAAGAATGGTAATTCCTGTATTTACATTTTGCCGCTTACCCTGTAAAGACATAGATTTGTCCATTTGCCTGTTCCAAGCATCCAGTTCCACAGAAGAGAATTACTGCAATCTTTTCAGTGATACTGGTCCACTTTATTCTTTAATGAACAGAATGATTTTATAGCCTTATCCTCACCTCATTGCAGTGATTCCCATTTTGCAGTTAAGAAATGATTTGGAGGAACTTAGGCCAAGGGAGAGGATAATGACCAAAACAGGGCTGCGAACATGAATCTCGGTGCCTTGTACTACAACAGTAGCTAATATTTTCTTTTTAGTCATTATTTTCACCCTTGAAATCTTCATGGTTTTTTGATAAAAAAAAAATTCTGTATCTGGTATTGTGCTCCCACCTGCAAAATAATTTGCCTGTTGCATAGCATCATAGCCACGTAATTTGCTTTCAGACTTGAGTTCTGATTGTAGAAGAAGCATGTCACTGATACAAAATCATTAAAATGGTTGTTGAAAATATGGCATGGTTTTAGGAGAAATCTTCTTTCAAAGGTATGACTGCATACGTTTTAACTACTGCAAGAGCAAAATGTACAGGGGTGTCTGAATCGGTGTGACTCTTAGATTCATCAAAAGCTTAGTTGGAAATGAGGATCCCAGTTAAATCAGGGGCCTCACAGAAGAGAAGACTTTGGTGAAAGACTGGAAACATCTCATTTGTGTCATGAGGAGCAACGAAGCAGAATGCTCAAAATTTTTAAGGGAAGAACATTTGAAGAAGAGAGAGATGCTAGAATTAGAAAAATAGCGTCCATTGAACATGGATGTAATTTATTACTATGATGTATTAGTTATCCTCTAGAAGCTTAGGGCCGTACACATGGGCTTTTTACTTATTTTATCTCACGAGCATTCTCTGGGTGGTGACTGCCCAAATCTCTGAGTAAGCTCCATAGTTGAATGTGGTCTTACACCTTAACCATTATATTACTTCTTTTAAGTGTTAAAATATAGGACAAGAAGATTATCTAATGCATGTGGTATTCCTCCTATTCCTTGTTTCTTATTCAGGATAGTTACAATGGTTCCTTTTGTATTGGATTACTCATCAATTGACTAATAGGTTTTCAATGTCTGTCTTTCCTTTTACTAACAAATACATGTCTGGGTCCTTAAAGCTAACGAAGGAAGAAGTATTTTTTATATCACATCTGGCTCCATGTAGCTGTACAGGGTTAGATCTGTCATGCAGGGTTTATTTTACTTAAATACTCAAGGCTTTCTTTAGATAGTGTTTACTTAACAGAACCTCTTAAAGATCTTTTTGTTAACTTACCATATTTAATACCTCTTTATGTATTTTTTTTTTAACTAGGGCACATCCCTCTGCCAAGCTCTCCTTGTGGGTTCCATTGTCATCCTCTTACACTCTTCAAGAGCTTTTTATAATTTGGTGGCGGTAGTGATCACTCCAGACCATGCACCTAGTCCATTCAACTATGGTTGGGATAACCTTTCAGATAAGGTAATCAAGCTTTTCACACTTCTATAGAAATAGAGAAAGAAAGATCACATCTGAGTTGGAACACTAATGTTGTCCACCCTTTTCCTTCAATGTGCCTCCAATGAATAGTAATTGGGAGGAGGCACCATGGTGGGAGGCAGTTAAGAAAAGCACTAATGAGATCTATATATGTTAGAAAGCAACTTGAGATGAGCTAATGAAGCTGCCTTATCCAGAACCGGCTCATTCATCCAAAAGGATTAGGCTCAAAGATCCATCTCATCGTTGGCACCGTTGTTTTTTTTTTGAACTATTACCATCTGACAGACGGTACAGGATAATAAAAACAAGGACAAATTGGCTGAAAAACAGCTTCTATCCCAGGGCAGTAACTCTTTTGAATTCTGTATAGTACAATATTAATGCAATATCAGGGGTTTTCAATTCAATGTATAGAACATGAAGGATGTGTGTTTGTGTTTATTTTCATAGTCCTAATGTACACTGAAGATGGTATTTAATTTTGTTGTTTGAGGTGCAATGACAATAAAGTAAACAAAACTAAACTGTCAAAGGCTACATGTCAAAATTGATACAGTGTGTGATGTGCATCAGTGGTAGGATTCAATTTTTTTTACTACCGGTTCTGTGGGTATGGCTTGGTGGGCATGGCAGGGGAAGGATACTGTACAATCTCTAGTCAGAGGTGTTATTTTCTGGTTCTCTGAACTATTCAAAATTTCCGCTACCGGTTTTCCAGAACTGGCCAGAACCTGCTGAATACCACCTCTGATGTGCATGTGTCTATCTGTTCACACATGTACATATGAGTACATGTATATGATAAGACAGTTTGCATTTGAGTAACAGCTGCAAGGAAAATATCCTGCTTTGGAGCTTTTTGATGGTGATTTGATTAACCAACATTAGGTGTAGTCCAGGACTGCTGCTATTATTCTGTGGCAAGGTTCACACATGAGACTAAGCCATAGCATTTGATTTTCCACAATATTAAGGCATGAGTTATGGTTTATAAACCACAGTGGCTTGGATTCACATATCATATCAGTCCAAAAACCAACCAACCATGTTATGGCTAACAAGATGATATGAAAGATCCCTAAGTATTCTTTCTTGGTTTCTGTTTTTTCCAAGAGATAGCTATCCTTTGTTGTCTTGCCCATTAGCCCAGATTTTCCTTTTAACATGCCAAAATTTAAAATAGAGGCCTTCTAATGCCAAACTTTGCCAGTGGATTATGAGGCTATTTCTAGAATGGAAGAAAGGGGCTCAATTGAAAGATCCTGTAATGAAGAAAGAAAGATGGAGCCAATTTAATCATAAGTGTCTTGGGATTTAGGATTAGATCCAGTCCTTTAAACCCAGCCTGAAACTCAACTGGAAACCAAAATACGAGACTTGTCTGTAAATTATAGTATTCTGTTCAGAATGTGAGAATTTATAAGGCTTGCTATTTGTTTTTTAATGTATTTCACACACACACACACATAGTTATATGCAGCTTTTTCTTTAAAAAAATAGTTCATAGTGGGAGGTAGGCTGTTGTTCCATCTGCAGTCTTTGAGAGCTGTTTCATAAAGAGTTCATCAAAACTCTTTTGTTGTTTTTCTCTGAATGTGTGTCCATGTCCTGTTCCTACAGCTTCAAGGAAAAGAAGTTAATGGTGAGGAGTACGTAGTCTTCGGTGTGGTGCTTTTTCTCTGGGAGTTTGTGCCAACCATATTTGTGGTACTCTTCTTCCGAGCACAGAGATTGGCCCAGAATTTGGTATGGATTGGGATCAATTGTTACTCTTTTTCTATTATTTCTTCAAAATAAGGAAATGCTCAACATTGTGAAGGGAAAATATGCAAAGGGACTTAGAACACAATGAAAATGTTTATTGGGGGACAAAAGAGGACACTCCAAGTTGAAACTTGAATAGAAGACTGCTTCGTATCAAACTCTGTCCAAGGATATTGCTCCTTAGCCCTTGGCAGGGATGGGGACTGTGCCAATTTTCTGGCATCGTAGGGTTGATTTGTCACAGAGTTGGAATGTTACGCACAGGGGAATTATGATGTGATATTGGAAGAAAAAAATATCACGTAGGGAACCTTGTACTCTGTCATTAAAACAAAAAAGAATTAGGACTATTGCATCCCACAAAGTGCTGAGAGAACATTTGTGAACCTGTAGGATTTAATCTCGCTTGTTATCTGTGAGATCTGAGTTTCATGTAGGTAAAAAAAGATAAAAAGATTTTGATAAATAACACCCAAAACAGTGTACCGTACCATGCCTTTTTTAAATCCAACTTTCCCTGCCTTTGTTGGAAAACTATATAAAGCCCTAAAATAATCATCAATCTTAAGGGTTGAGTCAGAGGTTTCAATCAGGAGTAAACTTGAAGGTTTATCTCCTTTAAAAAAAAAAGCACATATTATCAGCTACCATCAGATTCTGCTTTCATAAGACAGATCTGTGTAAATGAATCATGCTGTGATCAAAAGAGTTCTGTGATCCTCTGAAAAAGGACTGTTGATATTTGTGATGATTGGAAGCAAGATAATCGATACAGACTTCACCAATCCATGGTCAGACAGATGGTGTACAAGTAGAGAAAACACAACTCCATTATTACTCTTTCCAGAGTAATCAGTGAATGAACATAACCCCAAGTTTTTTGCAAAAGATCCCAGTGAAATGACAAAGGATTTGGAGACTAGTCTTACATTATCTCTTAATTGCAGCTCATGAGTTCACCATAAGCAAGGATGCTATGAATAGAAAAATACCAAGGAGGAAGTGATGATTCAAGAACGCACATTGCTACCCAACCCAGATTTACCTAAGCCCACCTGGATGATACAGATTATTGAAATAATGTCTTGTGGGAATAGGAGTAACTTAAGTAACTTAAACAAAATATTTTTTTCTAGAGAAAATAATAAATAGCATGCTAGCAAAAGAGCCTTATACCAATTGTGAAGTATAATGATGAAGGTATCATGTTTGGGATTCTTTGGCAGCTTCAGGATCCAAGCAGATTGGAATCATTTAATAAACTTACCAGCAAATTCTATTTACCAGCAAATTCTACAAAGCTGATTTGGTATAGAAGTTAAAGGCAGTGAGCTAGAAAGTGAAGGCTGGGACTTCTAATTCTGCCTTAAGCATGAAGCCAGCTGGGTGACTGGTGTCTCTCTTTCTCTCTCAACTCTAGAAAGAAGGTACTATCAAACTATTACTGAAAAAGTGTTGCCAAGAAAACTGCATAGATTTGTTTATGGAATCCTCAAGAGTTGGAGATGATTTGAAGGCAGACTCACAAACACAAATTCTGTAGGGAATGTCAAGAGATCTATTCCTAAGAAAATGTCAGTTATTCAGCCAAGACAGTAATTCTGAACACAAAAAGTATGTCTGCAACAGAGTAGCCAAGGTAGAAGTTTTACAGCCAATGCTCAATTCAAAACAATCATTATTTTGAATTAGTTCTGCATAGATGACCTGGGACAAATAATTTTAAAGTCATGTGTGGGACTGATCAACAAACAAGAAAAATATTTGGCTGATGTCATTGCTGTTAAGGAAGTACCACCAATTGCTGTATCTCATGTTCACACACTTTTTCCAACAGTCAGTAAACACTGACCCGGAGAATTCAGTAAGGACAACAGAAAGCGTACTGTTTTGTATGTTGCTGATTCAGAAATTCTCTTCATAAATTAAGCTTTTGTCTTATTGCTGGTCACAGTTCTACAACATTCTGAGTACTTCTGAGGGTTCACAGACTTTTCTGTCTTTACTGTATAAAAATGTTTCTCAATGTATAGGCTGGCTGCGGAATTCTGAGAGTTGAAAAGCTACATTTTAAATTTGCTGAGATTGAAAAATGCTGCTGTATAGCAGCTTTTGTTTAAAATTTTTGACAAATTTTTGGCAAATTGGAGGGCATCTTTCAAAAATGAACAGGATCAGGAAAAAAAAGCAGTATGTTAAGACACGGCAAATTTTTATTGATTTGAATTGCATTAATTTAGTGCATTTCAGACAATTGCTATTTATTTAATAACTTCCTCCTCCTCTTACATTCATTAGAATGTATGATTCCACTGTAGCTTTTGCATGCAGGCCCCTGGAGAACGCAGTCCGCAAAAGGGGATAGCAACTATTTTAGTTACTTGATCTGAAGACTGTAATTGAATTTTGTCCATTACTTAGCAGTGGCATGTGCTGTGCTGTGTTTTGCCTAACTGGCTTGCACAAGATTGTTTCATATGCTAGTAGTTTTTTTCAACAGCTTCCTTTCACTTTGCCTACCCTCTCTTATTATAAAGACTCTGTAAGTACTGCAGAGGAGCAGACAGCTCCTTCATTTATCAGACTGGAATAGTTTATTACAAATGCTGTAACAATTACATTTTTAAGAAATAACATGCAGTATATCTGCATATCTTGATTTTGGAAAAGGCAAAGAACTGGCATATTTTTCCTTATAGATCTCTAAGGCAAATGTTTTCTTTTGTTCTTAATTCTTCCCCCCTCCCCCCCTCACCCCAATGTCCCTCTTAACCTGAAAGGCACCTGCTGGAATGATCAACAGTCACAGTTACAGTTCACGAGCCTATTTCTTTGACAATCCAAGAAGATATGACAGTGATGACGATCTCCCAAGGCTTGGTGGAGGAAGGTAACTTGGTTTCGCTAAGAGGAGGGAAATATAGCTGAGAGTAAAGTTTGGCAGATTTGATGCTTGTGGAACATCTATTTCAGCTGAAGATTCATTAGTTGGAGCCTGAGGTAGCAATAGCAATAGCACTTAGATTTACATACCCCTTCACAGTGCTTTACAGCCTTTTCTAAGCAGTTTATAAAGTCCCATCATATTGCCCCCAACAATCTGGGTCCTCATTTTATTGACCTTGGAAGGATGGAAAGCTGAGTCAACCTTGAGCCAATGAAAATTGAATGGCTGGCAGATGAACAGAATTAGCCTGCAATACTGCATTCTAACCACTGCACCACCACGTTTCATGTGGAAGTAGTACACTTGGGGTGTTAAGATTCTGAAATGCATTGTGACCATTAGAACCAAATGGCTTATTTCACTCCCTGGTTAAAATAAAGTTTAGTTTTGTGCAAATCAAGAGATCTAGTGATCTGTATATTTGCAACTATTCTCATGCAGATTTGCGACAGTTATTTGTTTTACAGGCAGCAGACCATTAAAAAGTTCAAACTCCAGGTTTAATAGATCACTTTTGGACATCATAATACGGTATTCCATACGCTTACACTGCCACTGTTCTTAGACTATGTCCAGATGGATTAATGAGGAGTATCAATTGTCTGCTTTTTTCAGTGCTCCTTCAGGAACAACAGCTCCTCTTGGCCTTCTATATACAGTAGACAGCATCCCACAATTAGATACCTTTGCAGAAAAAAAATATGTTCCTTAATTGCAGCTTTCCCTTCCTAAAATTGGCAGATAGCCATCAATTGGTAAACATCCTCCCCAAATAACCATGCTGTTTGTGGGAATTTGGAGAAGTGAAGTCTACATTTGGAGGATGCTTAGGTTGGGGAAGGTTGTGTATTGCTGATTTTTTGATGATGCTGTTTTCTAATATGATATTTCTATGTCTTACTCTCCCAAATTTCCATTTTGTATTTTTCAGCTTGGCTACTCCTCAGAATTCTGGGTGGTACGGCTCTCTGACAGGGAGCGACAGCTGCATCATGATTCCACCTTTGGTTGCACCTTCAATGGATGTCGCTCCACTGCTGTTCAGTCATGAAAGCTTGGAATCCAGAAGTCATCACAGTTCACATCCAAAACCACCAAACTAATCATAGAGTAGCTTTGGGGGAAGGGTTTCTGTGAGGTGTGAAGAACCCTTTAGGACCAGTCTTTTCCTTACAAGCTGGTTAGAGCAAAAGAAATCCTAAAATCCTAGGATTGAAAGGACATTGCCCTGAAGGTGTTGTATGAATCTCAGGCCTAGAGGAATTCCCAGTGACCTCCAGGTTTCCCCTAATGCATATAGTATTTTCCATTGATCTTCTAATATGGGAATGGAACAATATTGGCTCATAGCTCTGCACTTTGGACTGGAGACACCAATTGTTGCTATGTGGTACTGGAAATAACAGAAGCCAAAGGAGAGCATATTCTGAAAGCATTCTATTTTATTGGCCAACAGACCATGACTGTTGTCCAGATGGATATTTGCACTTTGAATCAACCATTTCCAAGGGATAGTTCTCTTCCCTCCCAAACTCTCTTCTCCAATGGCATGAAATGTCTGTGCCAGACAACACTTTTAAATTGCACATCTCTGGTTGGGAACCTTGTTCTGTCTTCCTATGATGACAAACAACTCTACATATTTAACAGTGGAAAACTTTTGAAAGTGGGGTGGGATGAAGAATCTCTTTTGCTTTTAAATTCTTGGAGAGCATTTTACAAGTATGGCACAAGTGCCAGTCTCACAAGGCTAACATAGCTTGCGTTTTCGTTTTGCTATCAATCATTACTGAGATTGCTAGAGCAAGCCCCATTGTTGCATGTGTTGTTATATTCCTTGCAGCCTCCTTGTGTTGTTTTGGCCTATTTCTCGCATTACAGTAATACTTCATTTTAAATAACTAATTTATTTTATACTGGAAAAGCAGCTTCAGAGTGGGTTCTAGAAAGAGTGGACCTTTGAGAATTGCAGGCTTGTTTGGGGGTGATGCATAGCCAACTGGCACAGATGTCCTTCACTGCTTTCACTGGCAACTGCTTTGATGTTCCACAATGGAATGAAAGCAAGATTGATTTCTTTGCAACCACAGAGATGTAAATTGCTCCTAGATTGCTTAACCACCACTCAAAAGCATCATTCTCTAATACTGAGAAACAACTGTTTGGAACGTGAAGCAAAGTCAATTTTTTTTTCTTCCACCTACCAAGGAAACAGTACTAGGCAATGAGATCACCAAGAGATGAGGCAAGCAGGGGAAGACAAGGGCAACTGTAGCCATGGATGCATCTCCTGAAAGATTTGCAGTTAGATCCAGTCCAGTAGAAAGTGTTAATTATATCTACCTCCACTCAGAAGTGTGCGATTCCTATTTATACTTCAGGCAGCAGAGGCTTCTAGAAGTATTTTTTAGATTTGCCGTTCTCAACTTGATGACCTTTAGATGCATAGCATCAACTTCCAGTATCATCTTGATGCTTGGGAATTATGGGAGACATAGCTCCTAATGCACCTGGAACATTTAAGGATGAAGAAGCTTGGGAGAATGTGGAAAACTGAAGTACCTCCATTTTTTAACTGGAATTAGGATTACTGTATATCTTCTACTAGTGTTAATGGCCATAATTTCACAAATGGCATCTGACAAATGTATTGTCTTGTAGCTCTGGGATTAATCTTTTCCTTACAACCAATACATACATAGTTACAGCAAAAGAAATCTGAAAGTCTTAGAATTGAAAGGACCTTTTCCTGAAGGTGTTCATGAAATGAATCCCAGCCTGGTAGAACTATTGGTTACATCCAGGTTTCTTAAATACATTTTTGGTGAATCTGCATACAGTGGGGCCAAATGCATTCTATTCCCTTTTATTGTGAAAAGAGTACGTGTGCCTACATTGAATAGAACTGTTGGATCCCACACGCTCCTAGTTGAAAAGAAACTTAAAACACTAATATTACAGCAGGGACAAATGAACCTATGGCCTTCAGGAAGTGAATTAACAACCCCTAGCATCTCCAGCTGATATGGCCCACAAAGATTACAAGGAGCTATGACTTATTATCCTTAAATGAAAGTGTGAGCCAGTTTGGTCTGGTGGTAAGGCATCTGGTTAGAAACTAGGAGACAGTTCTAGTACCATCTTAGGCACAAAACCAGCTGGGTGACTTTGGGCCAGCCCCTCCCTCTCAGACATAGGAAGGAGGCAGCCGCAATCCATTTCTGAAAACCTTTCCAAAAATGCAGGGTCTTGTACAGGGAGTGTATGTATGGGAGTCAAGACTGACTTGAAGATATCCCCCCCCAAAATCTGGGAAATAATTTCTTGGACTAGGCATTTCACTTCAATAAGGATTTTAAAACTGAATTGAAGTCACCAAAGGGGTGGGGGGATGATTCCAAACAAAACTAGGTGGTTTTTGTTTCTAATCATTTCAACTTCTGTTACTTCTAACATGTACTACAACTCACTCCTTGGCCAAAGAGTAGCTATGGGATAGACTGAAACCTTTTGAAGTTCTTGAATTTCCATAGCTGCTTTCTAATCCATACTAATTCTCTGTAAAGATGGCTGCACTGGCAAGCCTGTCAGTTCTTCATCTTCCTCACTACAAGACACATAAACAGGAAGCCTAAACCAGGGGTGTCCAACCTTGGCAACTTTAAGACTTGTGGACTTCAACTCCCAGAATTCCTCAGCCAGCTTTGCTGGCTGAGGAATTCTGGGAGTTGAAGTCCACAAGTCTTGAAGTTGTCAAGGTTGGACACCCCTGGCCTAAACTGTGGTGGAGATCCTCTCTGTGTAATTAGATGGATTTCCTGACGTGGAATAGGATTGTGATTGGGAGCACTATCCGTCTGGAGCAAAGACTTGATTATCAAACCAGAACTGTTGTTTCTCAACCTTGACCACTTTAAGAGGTGTGGACTTCAACTCCCAGAAATCCCTCCAATGGCTGGCTAGGGACTTCTGGGAGTTGAGGTCCACACATCTTAAAAGTGACCAAGACTGAGTAACTCAACTACAGCAAGAAGAGAGTTGGTGTATTTAAAACATCCAACCCCACTATGGTGTCTGTAAGTAGATCGGCACTGCAGCTGCCAGGGGTCATACTCGAGGAAATCTAAGAGTTGAGAGTCTCCATACATTTGGAAGAGGCCAGGTTGGGGAAAACTGGCATAAATTGTAAGATATGGCTGCAAAACTGTTGGGAGGAATTTGAGGTGCTTCATTTTTCAAATCTCAAGCTGTTTCACAGCTGTTCCATCTCAACTGCAATGCAAGTAGATTGCTGTTCTGCAGTTAAGAGCTGCAGAGCCTTTTTAATTCCTCTTGAGATAGGCTGGACCACTGAGTTGACTTCCCTGGATGTGCTAGGTATAGCTTCAGGGATTAATCACATGCACACAGCAGTAGGCATTTCACATGTGTGGGGAGAACTATTTGCTGCACAATGTTCAAAATTTGGGGTAGGAAAAAGAGGTAATTTTTCAGCATTAATATGTGAAACTTAAGTTATTTCAAACATTCCTTGAGCATATTACTATACAGCTCTGCTCTTAAGACCTCTCTCCTTCCCGTCCCTGCTTAATTGGTCTTTGACTTGTAGCAAAAATTTAGCCAAGACTTGAATTGCCTGCCCCCTTTTTTTTTTCTTCAACAAGCCACCAAAGACTAGTTGAGCTACTCCTTTCTCTGCCCCAAATATCTTGACTTTCTCCTTTATCAGTTGTATAATGCACTTGGAGCACTTTAAGTTTGTTTCTTGGGAGGGAAAGCTAATGCATGAAGGCCAGGGGATTCTTTGTCTTTGCACTGAATTGCATTGAATGAAGATGGCTGTTCCTTCCAGTCATAAGCTCAGTTCCTTTATTAAAGCTTTTGAGTCGGTTTTATTCACGTGGCTGTTGAAATTCTGACTGCATTGAAGGGGGCCAGTTTTGTGTTTTATTTATATCTGTTACTACTTTTTATATATAATCAAATTAAGCCTTTATCAAGAATGGGGTATTTTAGGTATGTTTCGTTTTTGACACTATTTGCCTGTTTTCTCTCCAATCACTGGAGAGGCTAAAAGAGGCAACCCTGGCTCTACCATGTTCATTTCCTTCTCTTGAATTGTAATGTTACATTTCAAAATAAAGAGGCTTGTTTTTATCTTGTGAAAAGACTGCATTTTGACTTTTTCAGTTAGTTTTGTCATCATCTTCCTTGAATCTTCTTCCAATCGCCAGAATATTATTTGTCTAGTCTGCTGCCAGAAAAATAAGCTTGGGCGGTTGGGGGAGGAACTTGGATAAGGTCTCAAAGGAGCTTTTCCAAAGGCAACTGGGCCATTTTTTTCCTTGAGTAAGAAGAAAACATTTCACTTTTTATCCAAAAAGCTTCATTCGTCGTGATGGTTAGGGGGATGGAAGGATAGGCACTGACAGCTGAGACTGGATGGATGCAGGAGAATAAGTATAAATGCCTATAGACTTCAAAAAGGCTACAAGTGTGGCAAAAGATAGAACCTTATAACTCCAATGGTTTGAACAACTTGTACGTATCTCCTAATAGAAACCAGAATGTTCTCCAGTAAAATGTTATCCAGTAAAATAGGAAGTCAATCACTTACTTCTATTTTAAAACATAAATGTATATCTTCAAGCAAACAGGAAGCAGAGAGGTTAGGAAAAGTTCTTAAAACTTTCCTCCTATCCATACAGTGTATTCCTAGATCACAGTTCTAAAGTATGTGAAATTGTACTTCCACAAATATTCTATGGAAGAGCTATTAAAATAGTGACTTTCCAAATAGCTGCAACAAATCAGAATTTACATACTTGAAGGAGACATTCTGGATGTTTTATCAGATACAGTTTACCACAAAATACATTTTAGCTTAATGTGTTAGGCCTACCCTCAGCATATGCTCAAGATTGAATAAACTACATATGGAAGCATGTTGCAGGAACACCCCTACCTATGAAAGTTTTTCTTCCTTTAACATTAATCATTATTTGTTGAAAGTGTATACTATACCATTAGCCCTTATTAAAAGAAAGCCATCACCACAGTGAAATTGTTAACACCTTGATCAACCATTCCTTCAAATTCCCCAAAGCCTCTTGGCCTCATTTTGGAAACATCAAAAGAAAGAGAAGTAAATAACATATGTACTCAGCTGTCATATCCAGGTTTTGTACTTATATGTACTTTTACATTCCAGTAGTGTCCATCTCAGCTCCCAACCCCCAAGGCTAGTTAGCACACTTTGGATTATTCTCTTAGAAGTCCTCTCTATGGTGATTTAATAAAAAAGAAGGAAACGGAGGTGGGTTGGAAGTAGTAGTCTTTAATCTTATTTTGAAGTCTTACTTTAATCTTCACAGTAAAGAGCAATTCAAGTACAGGACAAAAGTATCTCTGTGCTTTCCTTGAAAATAGGACAGCAATCAAAGAAGCATCATTTTACTAAACAAATATGAAGAAACTAAACACATAGAGGCAGCTCTAAAGTATTACATTCAGTGGTGAGGGTCAAAAAGCCTTTGCTTATTTTTTTTTTCCACTTTAAGCTTGAAATACCCAGTTCCCATTTCACCAGCTTGTGATCTCAAGGGCTGGCCTAAATTAAGACTGCTCTTCCGCTTAGGCCAGGGGTGTCACACTCAAGGCCCGGGGGCCGCATCTGGCCCACGGGTTACTTAGATCTGGCCTGCGGAGCTGCCCTGGAAACAGTGAAGGACCAGCCCGCAGTGCTTCTGCCAGCAAAAATGGGCTCCCGAGCTTCGTTTTTGGCTGCTACGGCCTCCTGAAACCCTCTGGCAGTAAAACAAAACTTGCGACCCTCCCAAGCTCCGTTTTCACTGGCAGAGGGTTGCAGGAGGCCGTGCCAGCCAAAAACGGAGCTTGGGAGTCTGTTTTTGCTGGCAGAGGACTAGGGCCACCACAAGCGCCCCTGACAGGGGTGACCTTGACACCCACCCTGGTCCCCTGAAGTCAGACACAACCCTGATGTGGCCCTCAATGAAATCAAGTTTGACACCCCTGCCTTAGGACAACTTACAATAGCATATGTCCTGTTGAGGTTTCAGAGCTAATGGAAGGATCACTGAAATAGAAGACTTGCTTGATTTGAAGCATACAGTTTTTGCTGAAGGACCCTCTTGTGCAACAGTAGGGAATTGGAAAGCCCAAATATGGGATCTTATAACTGTAGTTCCCTGAGTAGCTCTTATTTTCCAGGCAATAAAAAAAATATCTCCTCTAGGCTATTATAAACATAAGTTACAAATCTATCTAGCTCAGTGGCAGAAATTCCCTATGGGTTAATTACAACTCCCCCCTCTTCCCCACAATGTTATGCAAATAAAGTTTATCTTGGCACAGGAATTTTTTTTCCCCAATGTGGGAGGGCAAATTCCCATGGATTCAATTCCCAGAATTCTCCAAGCAGCTACTTCTTGTTGAGAATTCTGGGAATACCACATCCAAGTTGGGGAAGTCTGGCACAAAACAACAAACATGGCAAATATGGAGTATTCTTTTCATGAAACTTTTCGGAAGAAGGGATGCTGAAACTTCTTACACCAGGATGTAAAATGTGACAATCTAGTGTCAAAATTGCACCAAACCCACTAAGAAGCAAGATGAGAGGGGTTCATAATACAGATATAAATTTATTTTCTTCACCCCTGGCACCTTCCTTGGTTTACTCTGGTAATGCTGTGGATTATGCTAAAAGGGGAAAATGAAGGCGTAATTTTACTCCAAGTTCTGAAGGATACTATTATTAAAACTTGCAAAAGGTTCATAATCTGCAGCTCTATAAAATGGAACAGAACAGCTATAAAATTCAAAACCTTGTGTTATGACTTCCACATTTGTTTTAAGTATCTTGTTTTATGATCGGTATACCCTTAATTGAACCTTCTAATCTTTGCTTTAATCACCAAAAGAGTGTGTGGAGTAAGCACACTCAATGGAATGGACAACTAAAAAGAGTGAGAGGAAAAATATCGGATCCTACTGGGGGTTGTAAAGGTGCTTCTGAATTTGGGGGGAGAAGGGGAGGGACTCATTAATCATTTTTCTGCAACTCCTGAAACCAAACCTGAATTTTTCTACAATCACCCAGCAGCGGTAGAGAGAGCCAGGCAGTCCCAGGAAAAAACAGCTCTGTTTCAACTGGTTGTTGAAGTTCTTCTGCGGCATAGCTCTAAACCATCTAGTGGGCACCAGATGATGAAAAATTATTGTACCAAAATCACAGTAATGTAGTCTCAATTCCATCACTCCCAGCCAACACAGCTAATAGCTATTTCAGCTAGGAATGAAGAGATCTACAATGGGATCTCTGGAGAGTGTCTGGATAGAGACCAGTTGCTTTGGACTCAGAGCTTTGGAGAATAAAGAGGGAATCTCATACTGGAATGAGACAACTCACCATGGCCAGCTCACCATGGGACAACTCACCACAGCCAACTTGCCACAGGACAACTCACTGTGGGACAATTTAGCAATTCAATTGAATTATTTAAAAAATATTTTAATTTTTTGTTGTTCACATTTCATTTGGTTCCTCCTGTTGCATCCTTTCTTTAATGATTCTATTCCACTATTTCTTTGATATTAGTGTAACTATTGTCCTGCAATGAGTTGTCCTGCAGTGAGCTGGCTGTGGCGAGTTGTCCCGTGGTCAGTTGGTTGTGACAAGTTGGCCGTGGCGAGTTGACTGTGGCCAGTTGGCTGCAGCAAATTGTCATAGACCCATCTCATACAACTCAGTGATAAACAGGAACTGACTGGAAATATTAAGTCTGGAGTTCCACTTCCAACCAGCTTCAAAAAATGACACACAAACCAGTTCTGGAGAACCGGTAGCAGAAATTTTGAGTGGTTCAGAGAACCGGCAAATACCACCTCTGACTGGAGATTTTACAGTATCCTTCCCCTGCCACGCTCACCAAGCCACGCCCACAGAACCGGTAGGTAAAAAATTTGAATCCCACCACTGACACAAACCCTGTGAGAGGAGAGAGCCATCTTGCTCTAAATGCTTTAATTTAAATTCCTATGTTGAACAGGCAAGTGGACCTGCCTCGAATGGCTCCTGTAAATATATCGCTCATTGGGATTTCACTCTAATATGTGAGATTAGGTTGTTTTGGGCATCTTACACAGGATTATTTAAGGACACTGAAGCAGAAAGCAATTTTTGTTAAGAGACACTGTTATGTAAGATGAAGATATTCTAAATCATGTGTCTAAATGAGGCATTTTATCATGCAGTTGCTTTGCAGGGAATCCAGGTGATCTCATCATGCCTCCTTTGTAACCATGGTTTTTTTCAACCAGCCTTTTCCTTCCACAAATAGAAAAATATATAGAATAGCTGCACTGTGCCTTTTTATTAGTAGTAGATAAGATCCTTCAGGCTGGAAGAAACCTTGCAAACAAGGGGCAAGGAACCTGAAGTTCTTCACATATTGGGTAAAGTACAATTCCTAGCGTCTCTCACTAATGGTCATGCTGATAAAGGCTGCCAGAAGTTGTAGTTCAGCAATTACCAGGAAGGATACATTTCTCCCACCCTCATGATATATATGTGTGTTTGTGTGTGTGTGTTTAAAAAAAAGTAGAATGCATAAGGCCAATATGTATATCCTGCTCTGGAAGAAGAGTCTTTCATGAATATTTCAGCTACCTCAGAGCCAAATATAAACTTGTAAGCTAGAGAATGTGACCAATTTTCATGTTGACTTAGCCCTTCTTGCCAAGAATGGGATCATGCTGGCACATAGCCAGCAGAAATCACTTTGAGCCCAATCTGCATAAAACAAGAAAGTTGGTCTCCATCAGGGTCAATTCACTGAAGAGGGCGTAAGAGCTCCTTGAAGTTTTCTAATTCTTTAACGCTTGTTGAAATCCTGCATTAGAGAATGGGAAAAAATATTATTTGGATAGAAGTGTAGCATGGCATCTCTATTTAGCTAATCTGAAAGAGACTGTGGAAAGGGGGGAGGAAACATAATTTGAGAATACGTGACACTGAATTCATCTCCCAAATAGAATGTGTCAAACTCACCTCCCAAAAGCATTGAAGAGCGACACAATCTCCTGCCTTGTTAGATGAAATTCATGTGAAGGACCTTTTTCTGATATATTTTCTATCAGTTTTTCAGAAAACAGGATCTTCAGCGCTGTTCCCAAGCCCTGAGTCTGTACACAACAGGAACAAGATTTCAACTAAACGCCACACCAGGAAGTGAGGTTGTAATCACTATCAGCTTTTTTTTAAAGTAAAAACTGGGCAATTTAAATAAAGTATTAAATAAATGCACCCATTTATTCTCCAAACATCCTATCTGATCAAATATGCAAATATTACATTAGCTAAACCCATACAATATTAATGTAAAAGTAAAGAAGAGAATAGAACATCCTTGTTTTTAAATTACACAGACACACGGACGTAGATGGATGCCCTAAATGTAGTTAAATTCTGCGATGCCGTACACAAAATGCACCAATTGGAAGGTCCAATCAGTTTTATAATTTCTTCTTTTTTATAAGTCACGTGTTTTTGTTACTATTGAGTTTTATTTTGTGCTGGTCTTCAACTGCATCAAAGATACCAGACTATATTTGCTGAATGTCAATCTTGACATTAGAAGAGGAATTCTCAATTGTGCGTCAAAAAAGTAAAAATATTTTTGCTGCAAGGATGTTGACCAGCAATATATCTTGCTAATTCAGTATTTGTATTAGCTACAGTTCTTTTAAAAAACCATCATCGTCATTAACCTAATGAGACTCTAATTGATGCAGAGTAGAGAAGGGAAGAGATATAAAGAGAGCCAATGTTATGTAGTAGTGAAGGTGCTGGCCTAGAAACCAGGAAAATGTGAATTTTAGGCCTCCTTTAGGAATGAAATCCATCTGGGTGACCAGTCAATTCTCTCTAAGTGTCGTGGTGGAGCAGTGGTTAGAATGCATTATTGTAGGCTAATTCTGCTGATGGCCGATTGCCAGCATTTTGGAGTTTAATTCTCACCAGTTCAAGGTTGACTCAGTCTTCCGTCCTTCCAAGGTTGGTAAAATGAGCACCCAGATTGTTGGGGGCCAATATGCTGACTCTGTAAACCGCTTAGAGAGGGGTGTGAAACAGTATATAAGTTTAGGTGCTATTGCTATTGCTGAGGTGAACCCACTTCATAGGGTTGTTGATGTGGAGAAAATAGGAGGCAGGAGAGCTAAGCATGTTCATTATGTTGAACTTTATATAAAAAGGGAAGGGGGATAAAAGTATAATAATATAAGACCTGGAAATGGCTAAGAGCAGGAAAGTTGAAGAAAGACAGATGGGCTAATTCTGGATGCATAAGATCAAGCCTTGACAACAAATGCATACACAGCGAGAATTGAGAAGACAGCAACAGAAAACAAAGCCCACCAATGCAAAAAAGCTGCAGAAACAGGAAAGAAAAGAAGAAGAAAAAAAAGTGGGGGGGAGTAACTTACTTGCAGCTTCCCCCAAAGGCGGCATTTCAGGCACTCTACACAATCCATGATCCTTGAAATGTTCTTAAAATGGAACCGAAATTCTTCCTGATAAAGAATAAATGAATGAATTAGTGATTAAAAAATTCACTAGTTATCTTTGATCGACAGCATTTCTTCCATTCGATACCTTAGCTAGTTCAAATAGAAAAATCCAGAATCAGGCTTCTGAGCTTTATTTATTAATTTATCATTTATTATGTTATTGTTATTGTTTTCCAGGATGCAACTCTGCAGCAAATGCAGGAAGATCAAGTGGAGGAATTCTTCCTTTTATGCAACATTTAAAAGCATAAGGGCTCTTTAGGATTCAGGTAACTACCCCAGAGTCTCTCTGCAATTCCTTAAAACCAAAGGGATCTTTTCATGGAAATATCACCCACCCTGGGGAAAGACACAATTGTCTTAAGCAATTACATCTAGTCCTAGGCTTAGCAACTGTTTGAAGTTCCAACAGACCTACCTAGGGAGTACTTACAACCCAGATTAGAAATTTTCATCAAAACTACACCCACAGCAAAACATTGGTTTGCTTAATAGTTGCAGTGTTTGCTTGATGACACGGATTCACTCAATGACCACCACAGAAAAGGTTATAAATTCAGGTCAATCACATGACCAACACATTTTCTAACCACAGTAAGTTACAATCGTAAGGGGCAGGCTCCATTTACAGTCATAATTCAAGAACTACCTGGATATATAGGTGCTACCTCTATGCCTCCTGTGCATTCATAAGTACATTTTTGCCTTTGAACCAAAGCATGGTACAGTCCTTTTTCTATAACTACCTTTCAGGAATAGGAAATCTGTTCTTCTCCAAAAATGGCTTACAACCTCAGTAGTTAGTACTTAGTACTTAGCAAAGTCAATAGTAAAGGTTGCTGGGTGTTTTAGTACACTAATGCCTGGAATCTCAGTTTCCCAGGATCTATTCTAAAGGCTTGTCTGTTTCAAATCCATATTTGATGGAATCCTTTGAGAGATTGTTGCAAGATTTGCCCTATTCCACACATTTTTGTAGAGGGCCTGATGAGCCAAAGAGAGCTTTCTTCTTCTCTCCCAGAAGCTGGTTAGGAATATTTTATTGTTAGATGCTATAATTTCTAATTAATTTCTGATAGGAGTGTTTTATAGTTTTCTATATCAGCTTAACAAACTAGGTTTAAAGTCTTCACTGCCACAAATGCAATCCTGTATCAAGAGTGTTTGATTTTGGGCCCCACTGAGCTTACAAACAAAAAGTGTATTTCTCCCCCACCCAGAAAGTGACTTAATTTTACCTTTAACTTGGCAGCTTCCTTTTGGTTTCCAGCAAAAAGTGAATTTTCATCAAAGTGCAAAGGAAAAGATCTGAAGTAGAAGACAAACACTATTAATAACGAAGGTCTTTCATTGTAGAAGAGAATGAAAACAATTCTATTCATCAGCAGTTATTAATTTAAGTAGTTCTTTTAAGGGTTTTTTGTGTTGGTTTCTGCTGTAACTAGAATCTTAAGATTCTAGTGACATTTTGAGATCTATGTACTACTATTGTATTATTGTCATTTGCCTTCAGGGCTACACCTTGTATTTCACAAAGTTTGCAATTCATTACAGTGAACCTTGTTGAAAGCTGTTTGCCTTCAGCAATTGTACTGGGGATGACAATCATAAATTAAATATACCTTTGATTTGTGCTACCCAAACTCCATTGAGGAGTCAAGAGACTAGCATGTTTATCTTTTAGCCCTTAATTGCAGTTGGAATGAAGACAAGTTTAACTGGGATCAGAAACAGCATAAAAGCTATTTTTATTTAGAGGATAAAACAATATATTCTAAAAAGTTACAATCACCCACCCAAAACTGTGAGTTGGCTCTCTTACACAGTGTGCAATGAATGTAAAATTATGTGTATTATCAAATAAATGGGCTACACGCTTTATTTTAAATTCTTGGTTCCTCATATTTGGTGTAGAGGTGAAGGCACCAGACTAGAAGCCAGGAGACTATGAATTCTAATCCCACTATAGGCATGAAAACCAAGTGGATGACTTTGGGTCAATCACCAGAAGACTGTGAGTTCTAGTCCCACTTTAGGCATGACAGCCAACTGGGTAACCTTTGGTTAATCTCTGTCACTCAACCCAACTCTCCTCACAGGGTTGTTGTTGTGGGGGAAATAGGAGGAAGAAGGAGTATTAGGTATGTTAGCTGCCTTGAGTTATTTATCAAAATAATAAAGATGGGACATAAATAAAATCTTTTCATCCTTCAGGATGAAGAAAAGGCTGTAATTTTCAGGTGCCTTAAATATACACTCAAAACATGAATAGATTTATAATATTATTTAGCATTTTCCCAATATTGTTCTAAATAATTCAAAAATTATTTACAACGCTTTTTAGTGACTTCCAATAATACCTTGAATTAAATAATTGAACTACATTAAATTTTTGATTGAAGTGGTTACTTTACACAGGTAAAGTGAATAAAAACCTGCTCTTTGAAGCACCATCATCCCATCAACCCAAGGACTTTTTTTTTAGGTATTCAATTTATGCCCACCCAACATCCAACTCTGGGTGGCTAACAATCCATTGAAAATAATCATTTACAAGCAAAAATAATTACAAACCATACTTGGGATGACCAAAGAAGCACATTGAAATAGATTGCACTTACTTAATTAAATGAAGAATTTCCAGGAGGTGGTTCTTGGTTTTTATATCCTGATCCTCGTCCCCTGTGAAAAGCTGGAAATCAGGGTGTTCAAAAAAGGGCACGATTTTTGAGAGGGCCCGTAACTCAATGAGATAGATGAAATACAGGTTCTTCAGCCTCCTGGGACCTTCGCCTTGTGTCAAGACCTCATCAAAACGCAGCTGGAACTCTGTAACATTGTGCCCCCATCTCTTCTCTGCCCACGTGTCTTAAAAGAAAGGAAAAGAAAGGGCTAAAGGTAATATTGAAGGTATGACTCAAAAATCATTCATGGCAAGTCTCAACCATCTCATCCTAAGCAACTCCCCAGCACACAACTTGTAGACCCCCTAGATGTGATGCTGAAATTCAGCCAAGGGTAGAAGGGTCAAAATAGATATATCATGACTGTCGTATTATTATTATTCTGACTTGTAGAACAAATCAAAGCTATAGGACAGAGGTCCTCAAACTTGGCCGCTTTAAGACTTGTGGACTTCAACTTTCAATTCTGGGAGTTGAAGTCCACAAGTCTTAAAGTTGCCAAGTTTGGAGACCTCTGCTATAGGAGGAAGAGGTTGCACTTGCTAAGTGACATCATCACATCAGAACACCATTCTGTGGCCAAAATGTTTTTTGTTTAAAAAGTAGCCACTCATCCCAGAATTATCTGCTTTTTTCTTTTATCTATATACATAGATGGACAACTTCAATCATATTGGGGGGGGGAATCTAATGGGATTGACTGACTGATTGACTCATTCATTCTTTCTTTGTATGGTCACTTAGCTCTCAAGCAGATCTTAGGGAATATTATTCCAGAAGGTAGGAACTTATATAGGCAAAGCACATTTTGTAAGTCCCATCAAATGACATTGCTTAATGGATGAGATTTGAAGCATTGCCAACTTCTATATTTAGAAGGTCCCATAAAAACAGGTTGTTCCTCCAAGTAACTTGTTCCTTCAAGGCACAAGGCTAAGCACCAGGGGATTGTGAGTTCTAAGTCCGATTTTAGGCATGAAAACCAGCTGGGTGACTTTGGGCCAGTGCCTCTCTCTCAGCCCAATTCTCCTCACAGGGTTGTTTTTGTGAGGAAAATAGGAAGAGGACAGAGAATTGGATAAGTTTGCTGCCTTGAGTTATTTATAAAAACAATAAAGGCAGGATTAAAAAGACCTAATCTAATCCAATCCTGTGTGTTATATTGTTTTTAGAATGAATGACCTTTCTCCTTCTGGATGTCTGTGGTTTTTACAGTATGTGTATTGCCCAGAATAGCCATGGACTTGAGCAATCCTATAAATCAAATCAGATCAAATCAATCAAACCTATTTATGTTTCATATATTTACCACATTTTAGTCACTGCAGGGAGTTTTTCCCCCTGTGATATCTGCAGAGACACACTTTAATTTGCTCCCATTTGTCTTAAATTCCCTGATAAGAGTAATCAGAAGACTCAGCTACTCAGCTAGAGACCTCTTGATAGCATATGAAAAACAAAATCATCCAGATCAGGGAAAACAACACAGAAATAAAATATTAAAGAAGCTTCTTTGCCAGTATGGCTGATCCAATTAAATTTTGATCCTGCTGAAAGGTGAAACAAAATTCAAGTCATTCTATCATTCTATGAGCTCATACTTCCTATTTTATGTGTGGTTTGGCCCTTTCATCCTGCATTTTATTGCCTCAGAACTTCTTGTAAAACTTCTGTTTTCTATTTTGCTTAGTCATTTGATTAAATGAGAATTGACGTGAACAGTCATAATAAAACCTGACAAATTTTGTTTTCTTTCTGGCCCGGAAGCCATAGATCTAAATAAGCCTCACTTTTCTGCCTCCAATGCTAGAGTCTTTCTACACACACACACACACAATCAAAAAGGTACAATCAAATGTGTTATGTTCAATACATACAGCACACTTAATCTGGTTACCGAATGAGCACATGTTCCGACTTCACATAATACCGTACTAAATCATAAACCTAACAAATTGCTTGAGTTTGCACAACCAACAAAAGAAATCAAGATTAAAACTAACCAAACTGATGCTATTAAGCAACATCCTGAAAGGGAGGGCCCACAGTTTACAGATAAATCATTGGTGCTTTCTGCTAAAGGTCCAAATTCAGTTCATACTTTTTAAAAATTTAGATTCTTTTCATGACAACTCAGATGGTTTAGCTACCGGTATTCAAGCCTGGTGTTCACTGTGTTAATATATTGCATTACAGGTAGTCCTTGACTTATGACCACAATTGGGATTGGAATTTCCATCATAAGGAATTTCCATCACAAGTCATTGAGGTTTTAAGTCAAGTCGCCATATGATTAGACCCAATTTTATATTAGACCACTTCTACAACAGTTTTTGTAAAGTTGACTCCATGAAATTAAGTAAATCCAGCTTCCCCAATGGGATTTTTTTTTTGCCATTTTATTTACTGGAATCAGGCAAAAAAACCCATTGCAATTCACAATCAGGGGACTGCAGGACACTTACAACCCATTGTAAATGTGAGCAGATGGACAAGCACCCAAATTGTGATCATGTGATCTCAGAGGTGGTACAATGGTTTGCAATAGTCATAAGTGCAAATACAGATCATGATTTTTCCTAGCGCTGTCGTAACTTCAAGTGATTTCAAACGGTCTTTAAGCAAACAGTCCTAAGATCTGTTCCAAAGGACTGGGCAGCTACTAAGAAGATGCTCCTCCAAAGTCCCATTGACAACGTTTAAGGGAGGGGACTTGGAGTGCACCCACCATATTTAACCTAATACGAGGGACAGATACTTCCAGGAAAGACAAACCCACAAGTAATTTGTCCCTGTGTCATGTAGTAATACAGGTAGTCCTTGACTAATGACCACAATTGAGCCCTAAAACTCATTTAACAAATGAGTTACTACTACATGTAATTTGTTAAATGAATTTTTCCCCCTTTTATGACCTTTCTTGCCACAATTGTTAAGTGAATCACTGCAGTTGATAAATTATTAACCTGGTTGTTAAGAGAACCTGGCTTCCCCGTTGACTTTGCTTGTCAGAAGGTTGCAAAAGGGGATCCTATGACCCAGGGACACTGCAACCGTCATAAGTGTGAGTCAGTTGCCAAGTGTCTGAATTTTGATCACATGTTCATGGAGATGCTGCAAGGTCGTAACTGTGAAAAATGGCCACAAGTCACCTTTTTGCAGTGGCGTTGTAACTTTGAATGGTCACAAAACTAACCGTTGTAAGCTGAGGGCTGCCTGTACTCAAAGAGCCTTGCTGTTCTTCACAATCCTAAGTTACTCGAGATCAGATTATTTGATGGTTGCTGTTTGTCTCATATATGCACCGCTACATCCAATATTATCAACAGAATTCCTCCTCCTAATGAAGCAGCGGTGGAGTAGACAAATGAATTTCAGTGATGGGATACCCAACAGTCGGTGGGATTCAAAAAAATTTACTACTGGTTTTGTGGGCATGGCTTGGTGGGTGTGGCAGGGGAAGGATACTGCAAAACGCCCATTTCCTCCCAACCCCACTAACCTGCTTTCCAGCTCTGTTCTCCTGTTCAGGGCAACAAAAGAAGACCCAGCCAATCAGCTGGGACTCGGGAGGCAGAGAATAGATGGGGGCAGGGCCAGTCAGAGGTAGTATTTGCTGGTTCTCCGAACTACTCAAAATTTCTGCTACCGGTTCTCCAGAATTGGTCAGAACCTGCTAAATACCACCTCCGATACCCAAGCATGTACATTGTGATATTTTCACTTTCTTTCTACGTTTGAGTCTTTCATACAGTTTTATTATGATACAGGGTTTTGTAAGGAATCACAAAAGGATATTTTGGCTGTCGAAGGTAGTGAAGTGAGATCTCAAGCGTTCACGGTTGCCACTGTGGTGATGGAGCAGAAGAAATGGCCATGTGATTCTACTCTTCCCCTTTCCCCTGTCTTAGAGGTTGGAAAAGGCTGCCTTTGAGCATTAAGAAGAAAGTGAGGCCACCAACCTTGCAAAAGGTATCTAGCACTGAGATGAATGTTGATGCTTGCATGAAGACCAGAAATAAGTTTGTAGAAAGCTCTTTTCTCCACACAGAGATCTGTAAGGAACATTGAGAGAAAACTATGGCAATTCGAAGGGTAGAAATTTAAGTTCTGCAGTGTATTCAACATTGTATCTTCAATGCAACCCACAGTGCATTCATTAAAGTGGTAAAAAAATCAGTTACCTTGCAACCAGCTGTAAAACATATTCCCTGGAAAAAGAGAAAAATATCAGCTCAAAAATATTTCTCTGGTCTTTTAGAGTTGCCAACAGAAAGGGAGTGGGGGAAGTAGTTCATTTAATGAATTTCTAGGCAGCCAAAGCTTCTGGCACGCAAGGTTATTACTGGAGAGCATGATTGATGACTCTTGACTATGGATGTGTCCCATTGGACAATATACATCCTGGGGGTGGGGGAAGACAGGGTCAAGGGTGAAATGAATGATGTGTCTCAGAGTCAGCCACACACAGGTAGCACCGGCATGTTCACTCCTAATAAATCTTCTTTAAACTCTGAGAGATGTGGCTAGAAACTCATGATTTAAATGGGGGTCGATGCCAGAGCCCTGACAAAAGAGCAATCCCAAAGTTTTTCTCACAACAGAAAGATATCTATGATAGTTTCATTTGTTGCATCTAATGCCAAGGTTGACTATTAAAGTATATAAAGAATTTTTCAAAAAGCAGGGTCTCCTCTCAACATTGTATCTCATGGCCTTGATGTAGGTACGTTCATGTCCTCCTGCTGCACACATTAGTAAAATGGTTTTAATTCTTTCACTTCTTAGCTCTAACCCTATCAGCTAATGCATTGGTACATGCTGGCAATATATCCTTCCAACAGCAGAATAAAGGACTGTTAAGAAGAAGGATGAACCCAACTAGGTCCTCACCCAGCGTAGTGTTTATGAATCTGGCACTTTCCAGCTAACATAGCCAAGTCCTAACACATCTGGAAGGCACTTAATTTTGGAAGAGTGAGTATGAAGTGTAAAGAAAGGAAGAAGAAACGGTAGTTGGCGTGCATTTTGCTAATATTTTCACCCAATGATCAAATAATTAACATCTGTCAATATATCTTTCCTCTTGATTATTGTTGGGAATGCACTCACCTTCGTTTTCTCTTGCTCCTGCAAAAGCAAATTAAAAATGGAAAAGGAAGAGATTACATTTCAATCAGATGAAATGTCTTCAGTTATTTCTAGGCTACTTTTATGGGTCTGAGCAATCTGATAAAACAGAAAATATTTGCCTTTGAATGTTCTGAGTTTCCTTTCTCATCAACCTCAGACAGTAAAGTCAATAGTAAAAGATTATGGGAGTTGCAGCCCAAAGCCTCTAGTGAGCACTCGTTGCCTAACACAATGTAATACAACTGGTACTAAAAATATTAAGCTTGTGCATCCATCTCCATTCTACTCCAAGAACTACTACTTTGTTTTGAAATAGTAATGATCTTATCTTGTTTTGCTGAATGTATTATATTTCTTTCCCCAGACTTACATGATTCAGAGTGAAACTACTATAGTCCAGTCACTGATCAGACTTACACAATTTATTCCAGATCTCTAGACTGATGGGAGGGGCATGCAGCTAATCAAAATACTTAAGCATTATTCCTATTCTACAAAGAATCTTATTTGGCCACCCTTTTTGCAGGATCAATAATACTCCTTGTAGCCTACATTTTTTATCCATAATAATTTTGTTTGTATCCTGTCTTTATTTTTTTTTTACAAATAGCTCAAGGCAGAGAACATATCTAATATTCCTCCCTCCTCCTATTTTCCCCACGACAACAACAAACCTGTGAAATAGACTGGGCTGAGAGAGAATAACTGGCCCAAGGTCACCCAGCTAGCCTTTTTTGACTGAGGTGGAATCTGAACTCATGCCCTTCCGGTTTCTAGCTTGGTGCCTTAATCACTTAAGTGGATGATATTTTGAGAATGTATTATTTCTATTTGCTTTCTTCCTATTTTTGACTCCACCCCATTCTTATTTGCATTTTCTCTTTTGATTGCCCTCCCATGTTTAGATTTTTTTAATAGTATAGCAGCATGAAATATGACATTAATAGGCACTGAAAAATGTTAATTCAATTTGAATTTTTTCCACGTCTTCTGTTGTCAATAACCCCAATACGTGCAAACACATGGCAACTCTGTCCACTATCAATATCAACTTTCTCTTAAAAATAATGGAAAGATAAGCTTACCTCTGCCAGAAGCCAGTGGATTTAAAGGCCTTTTTACAGAGCGAGGCCTATAAGATAAACATATTTTAATTATTTATAGTTAAAACTATGTACAATAATATTGGTTAAAGGTATAACTAAAAGCAATTGACCACCATAGAACTGAATTATTTTCATTGCAATTTCTAGCAAATAAAATCAATTCTAACTTAGACCTGTCCTAAAGGCTAAATGGAGTGAACTAGACCAATATTTAGAGAGCAGCATTTGAATTTACCATAGTTACTAATTTCAAAAGGATGGAAAAACTTCTTCAAAGGTATCATCTTAATTGCTGAATGGACAAGTTTATGTGGGAGAAGGCAAACTTTCAGACTTCTTTCAAGAATGCATTCTGATTTACCCTTTCTTTAAAAGTCTTTATTTATCCCCAACCTGGCACCTTCCAGATACATTGGATTACTAATTCCATGCAATTGGTATTGCTGTGGATGATGGAAGCTATAATCCAACATAATTTCTGGATGGGGAAAGCTTTAATCAATTCTCTAAAACCGGGAAAGACTCTATAAAGATTTTCACATTGCTGTATTTTTTCCAATATGTAACCAGTGACACGCAGACAATAGCCAGTTTAATCTAGTGGCTAAGACCAGGGGTGGGATTCTACCAGTTCACACCTATTCGCTAGAACCAGTTGTTAATATTCTAAGCAGTTCGGAGAACTGGTTGTTAGAAGAAATTACTGGCCTAATCCTGTAAGAAAGGCAGGAAGGAAACATTCTGGTGTTGCTTACAGAAATTGCCTCTCCATTAACCCTTATTACATTCTTGGCAGGACTAGACTTCCTGTCTCTGAAACTTCTCTGAAGTTTTTTTTCCCCTCCTTTGCTGGTACTTTGCTTGTGTGGAGTGACCATTGAAAAAAGTGACTTATGACCGTTTTTCACACTTACGACTGTTGCACAACAGTCACAAGAGCCCAGGCAAGGAGATGTGTGCCTCGATGTGAGTGATGTTGAGTTGGCCATGCCCAGCTTGTAATATGACCACCAAGCCATGTCCACCCAGTCACATGACCACCAAGCCACGCCCACAGAACCGGTTTGTTAAAAAAATTGAATCCCACCCCTGGCTAAGACTCTGAATTAGGACTGAGGAAATTTAAGTTTTAAATTTTGCTTTCTCTCAGTCCTTGGAAGACAAACTATTACTGATGTTGCCTAGAAAACTATATGGATTTTTCCATTAATTGCCAGGATTCAAGATTGAAGCGATGGCAAAAAAAAAAAAAAGTTAATAAGTAAGACAACCTCAAGAAGTTGTGGGAACCCAGGTTGTGGGAATCAAACAGTCATGATTTCTCGAACATGCTCTCTTTATTTATTAGGTACAGAGAAAGCATAACTGTGTTGTAATATCCTGTCTGTATTAAAGGTACAGGAAACAAAGGCTGAAAAGAAGTCTTTGTCAAAGGTCACCAAAGGAATTTGTGGCCGAGTTGAGATCTGTACTGAGGAATGTCTGTGCGTAGCTGAGATGCCCAAGATATGCCACAACATAGCCCTGTTCTTTTATTAAATGGTATGTTTTAGCTCAACAAGTTGGGAAAATACAGTCACTGTGTTTGCAGAGCACGGATCTGGTTGTGTGATGCCAGCCAACTCCAGATTTTTTAATACGCCATTGTTAATTGAGTTAGCGTAGCATGTGAGTCAGTCTCTGTGTGTATTTAAAATTCTGTTACATTTTTCACCCTTTTGAAGACATTCACAAACATCTTTTCCATGCACTGAGGCTGAAACTATTCTGTTATTTTGCGGTTTTTGAGGTTACTCCAGCAACTAGATTGAAAAGCCAGATACAAAGATATTAATAATATAAATAAACAGTCCAATCTTAGAAATCCTTAGGAAATTTAGCCAGGAGAAAAATAGATGAGTATATTTTGGAAAAAAAAATATCTTAAAATTTTAAAGCCTGGCCAAATAAACATACTTAAAACAGTTTTCTTCATAAATACTGTTCCAAATCTTCCAGGCTTCAGGGCCTTTGTAGCCAGTGTAACGTTCTGGATTCAGAAGCAAATCTACATACTCCGCTTCAGGGGAATGGATATCTGGAAAGGAAAAAGTGCTGCATTAAAAAGAGAGATAAAGAGAATAAGAATGTATCTGAGGATGCCTCTTGCCAATTGCTTTTGTAGTTTTTTACCTCGGAGTGTTCTATTTTTCCCAACATGAAATAGATGAGGGGGGAAAAGCACAACTTTCTCAGTTGTGGACTCATGCTGTGCCAGGCACACTCCTCATTTAATCAAGCAAGAGTCTGATAAAACTATCAAAAGCTTCCATGAATATTTTGGAATCATTTCATTCTATAAACGCAGCATGTGCTAGAGGTAGTCTTTGACTTATGACCGCAATCGAGCATGTCCATTACAGTCATGTGCTATAGTGGTTGTTAAGCAAGGCGTCCACACAATCACCTTGCTTAACAACTACACTCTTTGCAGTCATTAAGCAGAGCACAGAGTGCCTCAAGGTATGGAGGAGGCCCTGAGAGAACCACCATAAGACCAGGCCCAAACTGCACCTCCTCAGCTCACATGTGGCCTCCCCGGCTCCCCAAACTTGAGCCACCTGCGCTCCACTACCCTCTTCCCACCCCTCTGAGCCCGCTTCCCGTCCCACTGGGTCCCCCCCCCCCCCCCCCCCCCCCAATCATGACTCAGTCCATTTTTTTCTGAAGATCCCCTTTGGGAAGAAGCAGCTGATCTGCCATGTGGTCTTCCTATATACAGAAGCTGTATAGTGCTGGCCCAGAAGTGAGTACCATTTCAGATTTGAGAATTGTAGCTGCTCCCCAAATTTGCCCCATTATCTTTTTTGACCATGAAATTGGAGTTAAAATTCGTGTGGTTTTTTATATAAACAGGGCAGACTTGCAATATCAAAATGGTGGGCATGGCTAGGCAACTCTGTCCCTTTCTAATATGCAATGCAACTTACACGTGTAAAAAAGAATGGCCTTGATCACCTGGTCGTACCTGCCATTTTGATGCCATTGAATGCTCCCTAAAGATGTTCCGTTTGTGAATACATACAGCTATTGCCCAAACATCTAGCTAAGGCCCAGGGATATTTTCTGTTTTCATCATATAACCAAATAAATGGCAAGCATTATAATTTGGACCGGGGTCCCCAAACCTCAAGCCATGGCCTACTACCGGGTTGCGGTCTGTTTGGAACCAGGCCACCTGAACTAGTCGGCCCACGTACAAGCCGCAAGCCGGTTTCCCTCTCCCCCCTCCCCTACACCGGACCACCAAACCGTAAAGGTTGGGGACCTCTGATTTGGACCACAGCTTTCTCCTATGTTGTTTTGCCTTTTATCTTCTCCTCCCACTCTTAGAGGAGTTTACATTTTACATAAGAGTAAGAGGATGGCCATAAAGATAACAAGCATGTGTCTGTGTATCTCAAATACATATGCCAGCTTTCTTTAAATCCTCCAGAACTTGTGGGCACTAGAGGTTTTTAAGAAGAGATTGGATAACCATTTGTCTGAAATGGTATAGCATTTCTCTGCTGGAGCAGAAGGTTGGATTATAAGTTATCCAAGGTCTCTTCCAACTCTCTTATTCTGTAATCTTTGCAACCACCTTAGATGCCTCAATAGAAACACAGACAATGGAGACACCAACAGTACCATCAGCTTCACAAAAGTTTTCTGAAGAATCGTCATGCTGAGTCCATTGAATCATAGCCCGTGCAGTTTCTTCACTGCAAAATAAGTGAGAAAATGTTTGTGTGTGAAAATGGTTCTACGTAAATACAGGGACCTGGATAAAATGACTGTGGGAGCTGTGAAAGTGTCACAGGTAGTATCAGCATGCCTGAAAACATTGGTAGGCAACAGTTAAGAGGGCTGGCAGGAACCCTGAATTTGGCACTTCAAGGTGGGTTAACATATAATTGAAACACCGTTTACACTAAAATATAATAAAGTTAGGATTTTGATTTATGTTAATATGAACCCAACAACTGTGGTTTGTAAACCTCATTTTATAACTTAGTGTGATATGCAAACACAGCTTCATAGTTCGTACAATATACTTTAATTAAATAAACTATGGCGAAACACATTGTGCTGTGCCTAAGCCACCGACTATATCTGATTCAGCCTTCCATCCTTCCGAAGTCTGTAAAATGGGGACCCAGATTGTTGGAGGCAATAGACTGACTCTGTAAACCACTTAGAGAAGGCTGTAAACAGGGGTGGCTTCAAAATTTTTAGCAACGGGTTCTCTGCCCGGTTGCTGGGTGGGCATGGGTGTGGCCTAGTCAGCTTCCTGCATCATGGGGAGGCGTTTTTGACCTCCCCGGGCTCCTTTCCTTGAGCCTCTGGGAGAGCGAAAATAGCCTCCCTGGGCTCCGGAGGCGCTCTGGAAACCAGAAACAGGCCTGTTTCTGGCCTTCCCAAACTTCCGGGTGGCCCATTTTTTGTCCTCCCCGACCCTCCACATCGTGCCCTGCACTTACCTGCATCCAAAACGGGCCACGTGGGGACTCCTGGGAGGGGTGGGGTGGGATGGGTGGAATCTTAGCTACGGGCTCTCCCGAACCCCTGCGAACCCCCAGCATGACTTTAAAGCACTGTGAAGTGGTATATAAGTCTAAGTGCTATTGCAACTGACTGAAATAATAGCAACAGATGTTGCCAAACTAGAAGTTCCCCCTTTTTAAAAAGCTACTAAAAGTACTCATGCCTGCAGAAGGGGGGGAAAGCATGCTTCTTGGATAAGATGAACTATTGAACCTGAATTATTTTGCTTGTGGACAAAGTCTCCCAGTTGAAAGTGAGGGGTTTACAAATGAAACAATTTTTACATTAAAAAAGTCACCATTGGGTTCTGCAGAGGAAAGGATATACAATTCCTCCATCAGCCCACTCTGACAAAGTGGGTCCAGGCAGACTACACTAAAAAGTACAAGCTAAAGTGGTTAAGGTGCTGGCTTAGAAACCAGGAGCCCATGAGTTCTAGTCCCACATTAGGCATGAAAGCCAGCTGGGTGACTTTGGGCCAGCCACTCTCTCGGTCCAACTCACCTCACAGAGTTGTTCTTGTAGAGAAAATAAGGGGAGAAAAAAGTATTAGGTAGATTCACTGCCTTGAGTTACTCGTAAAATCATAAAGGTAGGATAAAAATCAAACAAATAAACTAACTTCTAGGGGAAGAAGAAAATGTATGCAACCAGCAAACACCCCGCCATCATGTTTATTCAGAAAAATAAATTATACCTCAAAGATTTGTCAACAGCCCCAAGGTTTTCTGCTTTTTCACAGCTTTCAGCCAAGGGAGTGGCAGCAGCTGCTTCTGAATACTATAAAACAAGATGACAGGAGATGTGAAACTAATTCAAACTAATTCACCACTATGAGTTAGCAACCAGCAATTCTCAGATCAACTCTTGCCTGTCTACCACATGGGCCATGGGCCACTCAGTATCCCTCACCCTCTTTCCTTGTGATATTTTTTTAAAAAATCCTCATTTGTCTCTATTTTAGGTAAACCATTCATCCAATAGTTATTGGACAAACCTAAGAGCTTTTCTATATTTCTTGGGATCTTAAATGCATAATATCTATTTGAAGTTGGAACGACAGGCCTAGCCAAGTCGGTTGATGGTTATCACAATGACTCATAAATCAAGATGTCATTAGTTTAAGGAAAAACAACCAATGTTTCTTTCTTCACATACCACATAGAGAACAGGAGAGTTATCCTGGATCCAGTGAGTTCTGGCTGGACCTGATTGGTACTTACCTTATTAGTCTCTGATCTAATTCCACAAGGAACCTCTTCCTGAAAACAAGAGATAATGAAGTCAAGTTTGATGCGTTTATTTAATATGTAATATTTAATAGTGTTTAACTTTTGGGTCCACACTATTTTTTTTGCTGGAGAAGCAATTTGAATAGGAAGTATAAAACAAGGATTGTCATATCTGATTTTAGAGATCACATGAAATCATGATTTGTTTTAACTATGCTTTCTCAGACAAGCCATTATAACTGTTTTAATACTTTTGGTTAAAACTAGGCTTAAAATCCAGAATGGGCAAGCTCATGGAACACTCTAATTAAAACCAGTGGCTTTTTGATGAGTCATGATCCTTTTTTTAATCCTTTAATTTTTATTACCTCTATCACAAAATAAGACGTATTTATATAAAGAGCAAGCATCATAAAGATCATCCAATAATCTATGGTAGCAGAATAATATCAAAAGGGGAACTAAATTAGAAATATCAGAAATGTAATAATAAACCCATAAAAACCAAAAATGGACCATCGTGTTTTTTTAAAAAAGGAGATTTAAAAAAAACTAATCTAGTAAAACTAATTCTTATCATTGATCTAAAAAAGTACAAAATACAGGAATCTGAAAAGACATTCCAGAATAAGACATCAGGTTTTTTGAGGAACCTTCAATTTCCACTCATTCAAACCAGAAGGTGGGCCAGAAAATAGACTCACCAAAAGATCTTAATGAGACATGAGGGCAGGGATGGGATTCTACCAGTTTGCACCTATTCGCTAGAACCAGTTGTTAACATTCTAAGCAGTTCGGTGAACTGGTTTTTAGAAGAAATTACTGGCCTAATCCTGTAAGGAAGGCAGGAAGGAAACATTCTGGTGTTGCTTACAGAAAATGCCTCTCCGTTAACCCTTATTACATTCTTGGCAGGACTAGACTTCCTGTCTCTGGAACTTCTCTGGAGTTTTTTTTTCCTCCTTTGCTGGTACTTTGCTTGTGTGAAGTGACCATTCAAAGTTACAATGGCACTGAAAAAAGTGATTTATGACCATTTTTCACACTTACGACTGTTGCAGCATTCCCACAGACATGAGAGGCCAGGCGAGGAGATGCGTGCCTCGATGTGAGTGATATTGAGTTGGCCACATCCAGCCTATAACATGACCACCAAGCCATATCCACCCAGTCACATGACCCAAGCCACGCCCACCACCTAAGCCACACCCACAGAACCGGTTGCTAAAAAATTTGAATCCCACCCCTGCATGAGGGCATAGTGGTCCTTCAGCTATCTGGTTTTAACTGTACAATATTTTATTTTGTAAAAACTATCAATTCACTTTTGACAATCTGAAAAGTTCCAGGTTGAAAAAGCTGCTACAGTGTACTATGTAGTACTTTCAATATACTGCGAACTGCATGTTGGTTGTGCTATTTATATACCCTCTTTCAATGTATTAAATGGATTGCAGAGGGAAGGGGCTACAAAGGCTAGACCTCTCTCCATTGCTGGAATCATATTTCCCTCTGATGAAATTCTGAAGAAACATCTGGTGATAACCCTTGTCTGGAGAAGAAGGACAACTAGCAGAGCTCATGAACAGGCAAGGAGGGCTTATGTATTCCCTGAGCAAGTACAGGGAATCATATTATCCACAGAATAAACAGAAGCCAGACAGTTCTTCTAAAAGAAGATAGAAGAAACATGTCAGAGTGTTTGCAGCATGACTACCATTATGAGACAACCCTAAAGCAAAACACAGCACACAGAGACTTAGACATTTAACAGTGGTTTATATACAACAGTTATGTACACAGAGAATTTCTGCAATGAATACTGGACACAAAGAGAACACGCCCTCTAATGCCTGCCTCATGTAACACCTCTTAAAGGGATAGAACCCATCTCCAGTGTTAAAGGGAAATAGCCATGCTATGCTGAATCATCTTCATTTCATCAGCCTAACATTGCATCAGATGTATAGCATCTGGCAGCTATTACTGCTGCTGGTCAGCTCTTAAATCTTAATACCTCAACAAAACAGATTTTCTATCATATTTTTTCAGAACAAAATATAGGTAGTCCTCCACTTACAGCAGTTCATTCGGGTTACAACGGCACTGAAAAAGCAACTTAGGACTGTTTTTCAAAAATGACTATCCCCATGGTCATGTGATCAAACTTCAGATCCTTGGCAACTGACTCATATTTATGATGGTTTCTGTGACCCCGGGATCTCTTTTGTAACCTTTTGACAAGCAAAGGCAATGAGGAAGTCAGATTCACTTAACAATTGTGTTACTAACTTAACCTCAGTGATTCACTTAGCAACTGTGGGAAGTGAGGTTGTAAAATGGGGTAAAACTCATTTAACAAATGTTTCACTTAGTAACAAAAAGTTTGGGCTCAATTGTGGTTTTAAATTGAGGACTACCTGTAAAACAAAGAAGCACGCTGGGATATTGCCAAGGTTTGGCTTTTGTATTTTCCATAAAGCAAGTTTTCTGCAGGCTAAATGGAATGTATTAAAATATATCAGGATTGGGAAAATAGAAAAGGATTTTATTTTGTTTCCTGACACTTACAGATGAGCACGGATTAACAGCACAGTGCCTAATTCCACAGTGACTGCCATCACTCCAGAAAGGACAAGGCTTCTTTAGGTTAACCTGGAAAAGAGGAGAAAAGAATAAATACCGTATTTAAATTATAAATAAACCAAGGATGAAATAAAAGTCTGGTCACTCATTTCTAATGCTTTCTTCTATACCAGGGGTGTCAAACTCAAGGCCTGTGAGATGGCTTTGGCCTGCAAGGTGCTTAGATCTGGTCCATGGGACTGCCCTGGAAACAGTGAAGGACCGGCCTGCAGTGCCTCTGCCAGTGAAAACAGAGCTTGGGAGGGCCTCCTGGAGCCCTCCCAGACTCTGTTTTCAGCTGCAACAGCCTCCTACAGCCCTCTGCCAGTGAAAACAGAGCTGGGGTGGACAGCTCCATTTTCACTGGCAGAGGGCTGTAGGAGGCAATTGCAGCTGGAAACGGAGCCCGGAGGAGCCACGCACACTGCCCCAGCTCTGTTTTCGCTGGCAGAGAGCTGCAGGATTGACATCAAGCTGGCCCCGCCTACCCTGCCCCCACCCACACAGCCCCACAGGTCAAATACAACCCTGATGTGTCCCTCAATGAAATCAAGTTTGACAACCCTGTTCTGTACTGTCTTCCGTGATTCTAAATAAACAAAACACTACATATTTTAACCCAGGCTAAGTCATGAAACTGAAAAATGGGCTGAATTGTGTAGTAGTAGCTGTTGGAATTAAATGTAATATATTTTTGGCAACCCATTAAAGCATATTTTTAATTATTGCCTTCTCACCTCTATTATTTTGATGAATAACTCAAGGTGGCTAACATACCTAATAACTTCTTCCTCCTCCTATTTTCCCCACAACAACAACCCTGAGAGGAGAGTTGGGCTTTGAGAAAGTGACTGGCCCAAAGTCACCCAGCTGGTTTTCATGACTAAGACAGGACTAGAATTAACAATTAAAACTGGTCACTTTTTGGTTTTCTGGATTTTAACCTGGTGCCTTAAACCATTACTTTTCACCAAACTGTATATACCACATAAACAACTTTTTTCTTCTTTATGCATAACATTTTTAAGAATTTGAAAAGTAATATTAAGACCTTTGTCTCAGATTTGATTCCTTAACAAAGTAAACATACCTACATATGTACAATAAGCATTCTCAAAAAATAAGTATTTTTTTAAAAAATAGAAAATGCTGAACTATTTTATAGTTGATTCTGAAGAGTATGAAAAATAATCAGAGGTTAAATTCCTGTAATCTAAATGAATGAAGGGGAAAAGAGAACATGGCAGCCTCTTGTAACAATGTGAAATGTAAGAGATTTGGGACATCTTGGATGTTTATGGAGTTATAGTAGTGGAATAAAAATTATTTTTACAAATCAAAATGATGAAATAATTTGGAATGTTGGAAGGAGTAATTCAGAGGTTTATTTCAGGGTAAGAATCATACCTGAAAGAATGTTCATCCCCAAGGAAAAAGATGATAAAATGAATTAAATATACTCTGAGAACATTAAAAATGTAATAGATGCAATTGTTTTATCTGAAGAAATATTTTGTACATTTTTGGACAGAAAAAACATATCACATAAATAAAAATAAGCTTGAATTACAAACTGTTTTGCCTGAATGAGAAGTTGAAAATTAGTTGGAATATATGTTAACAACTGTATGTAGTAGAAGTAAAATAAGCATGAAAATATGTGGATAACTTAGAAATTAATTCAACTCTGGTCAAGTATATGCCTCTAAACAACTTAGAGAGGGCTGCAAAGCACTGTAAAGCAGTATATAAGTCTAAGTGCTATTGCTATTGTAAGCATAAAAAGTTTTACCTCTTTTTTCTTACTATTTGTTTTTAATTTCTTTGGCCTAGTGTGTCTTACTCCACTATGTAGGACATTGCTTTTCCCCAAAAGAGAATGTTACAATGAATATGGGCCTATATGCATAAGAAAAGTAAACAGCTACCTTGTAATATCTGAAATAATCACTTTGCAGAAGTTCTTGTAACTGGGGGAAAAGGTTATAATTGTTGAAGTTATCAATAGTCTCAACATCACAAGTGCAGTCGTCTAAATGACCGGTGACCTAATGAGAAAAAAAGAGGATTAGCTATTTTTAAAAGACCAAAATAATTCCTGTAACAATTTACTCAGCATTTAGTAAAAAACAAAATTCTGAATGCCTGAGATCCAAATTATCTCTATGCTTGAAAGAAAATTGTGCTCTCAATGTGTCCAAATGTGCTTGAAACTAGAAGGGAAGATGAGGCATTCACTCTACCTTCTCCTATTTTTGACTTCCTTTTTGAGGGGAAAGTGTCATCCAATGCTGTCACACAGCAGAAATATTATATTACAGTACATATGCACCCCTAGAGGCACTGGGAACTACCCGTGTAGCCACATTCTCCCCTAGCAGCTTATGGGTATTTTTCAAGGTAGCCCCATGTACAGCACATTATGGTACTCCATACTTGAGATGACCAGAACATGAGTGACTAAGAAAACAGCTTTGTAATCCAGGAAAGGACAAAACTGGTACACAACACAAAATTGAGGAAACACTCTCCTAACTACAATTGCTACCTGCTTCTTGAGCAAGAACTCTGAGGCTAGGAGGAATGCACACACACACACACACACACACACACACACACACCAGGTTTATTTAGGGCAGTGAAACCCCATCCAATACCAAAATTGGTAAACCCCCAGATACAAAGGAATCCCCCACCCATAACCATCTACCAAGATTCAGTTGAAGCCTGTTCTCCATCCAAACCTCCTCAGTCTAAAACAGAATGACATCTCCAGTCCTGTCCAGAAGCCTCCTTCAGCCATCCAAGATTACATTTATTTCTGTTTGACACCATGCAGAAGTTGGAAGAGTCACCCCAAAGAAAAACATTGGTTCCCTATTTTCCTCATGGGCAGTGAAAACTTTAAAAAAAACTTTAAAAAAAAACTTTAAAAATGACAAGCGATAAAATTGTTACCTATTTCATTTTGTTGAAAGATAAGCATTTGTCCTGTTTTATGTACATTATTGATTCTTTTCATAACTTGGGCATTTTTTAAACAAAAATGACAGGGCTTAAATTAATTTAATCATCATCATCTATGTTTTAAGGGAGGAAGAAGGGATCCATGCAGTAATCTATCATTTAAAACAAATGTATTCAGTTACTGTTTTAGCTATGTGATTGTTTGCTTCAGAAGCCAAATGTGAGACAAAACTTTGACAAACAGCTCAGAAAAGAGTAATTTCCGGGGAAGGGAGATTTATAGCATGTGGCCTTACAAGGAAGTTGCAAAGAGAGAGAGATTCATACAAGCTACCCATTTGACTTCTGTCTAGTACAATTGAAGTTATTAGTTACATTTAAAATCTGACACTGAAGTGCTAACACAATTTGTTGCCAAATTCCTACATTTGGTAGCAATGTCTCACATCCCTGTATGATCCAAAGAGAATTGGTTTGGCTGGCAAGCTTTGCAAATGCATCTATGCTTTCTACTAAAAAAAAAAAAATCACATCATCCAATGGAACCAGCCATTAAGGATTTAATAAAGGCCAGACAGAAATACACCCTAAGCACAATTATTATATATTGTGTATATATTCTAGAATTCAATCCCACAAGATGGGAGAGCATTTTTAACTTAAAAAACGCTCAGACCACACTAGACAAAATTACTCTTCTAGCAATAAACTTTTCCTTGATAAAAAAAATAGGGAGCAATATACCTTTAGATGAAAGCACTGAATATAAAGCTCAGTGAGAATTTGACTGAGCTAATTTTCATTCTTAGTCATTAGGGATGTCTATTAATTTAAGAATGAATGTACCTTATCGCTTCTTCTGAAATAAATATGCACCTCTTAAAATTCATTTATATTATATTCTGCCTGAAGCAATCAATACATCAACATGGCAAATGAAGGGGATTGCAAAACCAAAAAAATGAGAGTATGCTGTTCTTGCAATGCTGATTTCAGGAAAGATCAGTGAAGAAGGTTAGGATTAGAGTAAACGCTGCAATCTTAATTCAGAGTGATTCTGGAATAAGTTTCTGTCTTTAAAGCATCCTTTCTGGAACAATGCTCTCCACGTGGCCCAATACTCCAACTCAACATACTACATCAATTTGGAGATGGATGCAATTTGGCCTTAAACAAGCTCAGCTATCTTTGTATGACACAATGAACTATATTTTTCTTAACCATGGGTTACGTATTGAACACATCATAATTGGCTGACTTTATGTAATAGTAATCCACGAACAAGACTACATTACAGCTTAGCCTACGGCATGAATCCTAGTATATGAAACTACTGTAAATACGGACCTCAAAAAAAGTGATGATGTTCACTGGAGCATATCTTCAAAAAAAAAAAAGTTAATTCAGGTCTCAATCATGTGTGTCACCTCAAATACACACATCCCTATTAATAAAAATGAGGCAATCTGGAGCAGCACACAAATCAGCAAAATCTGGTGCCCTCTTTGAATTACATCCCTAGACATGAGAAATAAAGGTTAGAATTGGAATTTCTAAATATCTGGAGATCATCAGGTTACTTATTCTTACAGGATTCCTTGGTGCCCCCTGAGCTCAGTGGTTTTCCTGCAGTCATTTCATTACCAAACTAGGTAACATCATCAGTGCTAGCAGATGAGACCAGCTTATATAGGGATGGTTTTATCATGTGAATGATGATGTTACCTAGTTTGGTAATGAAACGTCTGCAAGAAAACCAAGTTCAGAGATTATCAAGGACCTCACAGCTCAACCCAGAGCTACATTTTTTTTCTACTGGTACTTATTCTTATCATAGGCATGGTAATTAGCAATAAAAAATAAAAACAGACCATCTTTAAGTAGTTCCAGAATACTTAGCACAACCTACCCCCAGAGATAACAGCAATGAGTTTCTGGGAAGCCACAAGAAAACTTGGAATATTAATTTATTTATTTGATGAAGGTTGCATCCTCAATGTACTAAATTTAGAGAAATAGGTTTTACAATGTATCAGAGTTAACACAACTTGGGCTATATAATCACTGCCCTCATTTTGTAAAATTATAGTGAAAGTTAAAGGACCCTTTCAGATTGATTGCAATTCAGGAACTTATTCTTGTATACTGCCATATTGTATAATGACTCCTCCAATTACACAACATAATACAGTGCCATTAATGAATCATCCATACTAAACTCATGTTAAGTGAAACTGTCCATTGGAATAAATCATCATAATAAAACAACACATTAAAACACCCATCCCACTCACAGACAGCATCTTCTAATCAATACAAAAAACTATTTGGAAGAGCTCTTATCTTTATCAAGCGTTGGTCTAAGATGCGACAAATTAGTTTCAGATGAGAGATTGGTCCACACAACCAGGGGCCATATTACTAGAAACAATTTTTAGTTGTTTTGTTCTGCATGTCTACTCAGAAGCTGTAATAAATCCAATGGGGTCTACTGCTATGCGATATGTAAAGTTCCAGATTCAGTATTTTGGGATTGAAATTCTCAGACCTGGTTCAAATAACTCACTAAATTACAGCTTGCTAGATCCAGAGTTCCCTGGGTTTAACAATATTATGGTTTATATAGTTTATAATTTACAATGGCTATATATGTTAAGCCAGGGTTCACCAACATTTTAGACTAGTGAATTTCAAAAGCATGTTGAAATTCCACATCAAATGGCTATCACAGTGGATGTGACAAATCACAAAATCCCCATATATCAAACAGAAAACAAAATACAGCTACAACTCTTTGTGTAGCCTTAAGGGTATAATTAGAAATACTACATAAGAGTGTTTGAAGTTGGTGCTTCTTTGCTTTACAACACAGTAACCTCCCATTCATTATGATGAATTTCTTAAAAGGTTTTTTAAAAAAGCAAATTACCAAGATAGCCACAGATCCTAAGGAACAAACCAAGCATCTGGGTCCCTGTAGTTAAGCCCAACCCAAACTGCAAAATTTCCAACAGTTTCCAACACATCTGGAAGGTACCAGCCTGGGAAAGGATGCTGTAAAAGAAGAGCCTGCTCCTCTATCCAAATTCCTTTCAACAATTTGTTTTAGACAGAAGAGAGTCAAGCTGAATCCATCAAACTTTTGAAGAATGTAGCCTCATCTAACACCAAGAAACCGCCAATCACAGTATAATATATCATCCTAGGTACAATAAAGGTGCTACAGTGCGCTAGGATAGCCGTATAAATTAATCCCTTTTAACATCAAAGCCTCTTTCTCCTAATCCTTTGAGCCTTATACCAAAGGCCACAATTTCTCCTCGCGGAACCAGATAGCCCGTGGGAACGACTTATCCAGAAAGGCAGCAGGATCCGGGCTCCCGTAGCGCTAATGGCCCTTTTACTTTTACGATCCCGGGCTTAATTACAGAGCAAGCCTGCGCCTTGGGGCTACCTAGCGAAGATTAGAGCTCCGAGAACCCGGCCCGCCGTCCTGGCACTTAAGAGTCCTGCAACTCTTCCATCAAACCTCCCACCAAATCTCCAGGGGAGGAATCCTTCTCTTTACAGAGGTGGGGGGGGGGGCGCAAAGAAGGACGCGCGCCCCCATTCAGACGTCTCCCCGAGCCCGTGTGCTGTAGAGAGGCTTCCCCAGCATATATATACCGGATGTGCCCCGGGCTGAGAGGGTGGGCGAAGGAGGCAGCCCGCTTACCTGCCGGCCGGCTCGACTCACCTGACAAAAGCAGCGCTGCTCCGCCGACGGGGGTTCGGCGGAGGCGCCTCTGGAGAGCAGGGCGAGAAGGAGGACCAGCAGCGCCCGGCACAGGCGGCGAGAAAGCACCAGCGACATGTCGCCTCTGCCGCAGCTTAAAGCGAGCCTGGGTTAGAGATCTTCAGCTCCGCCGGTCAGACACGCCTCCCGCCTTCCTCCTGTCGGAGCGTCATCTTTCCAATCCAGGGGACGTGCGGCGCAGCCCGCATACAACCGGAGGCGTCGCCGCTTTGCCCGTCCTGCGCTGGGTGGGGCCCGCTGGGAGTAGAACCTCGTCCCTTGCTCGGCCTCGCCTTGCTGGGAACCCCCGTCCGCCGATCTGCCAGCCCCATCCTGCCCTCCTCAGGGCCTCCTCGAGGTACTGAGCTCACCGCTCCAGTCCGCTGTCTGGGGATCGGTCCGGACGTGCAGGTCGGCGTGAAGAAAAGCCTTTGACCCGCGGTGGCATCTCTTTCTGCTGCGCCTTCGTGTTTTTTGTTTTTTTCACGCGGGGACTGGCGGGCGGGGTTGGGACGGTCTTGTCCCCAGGGCAAACACACACACCTTAGATGTGTGCAGAGATTCTCAGTCATCCAGGTCATAGTAGTCTCAAAGGTGCTTCAAAGGGCAACTTTTTTCCCCCTCAGGAAAAACACAGACCGATTAGAAAAAGCATATTTGAGACACACCTCAGATCTGTTTAGTTCCTGATTAGGGTGGCTGCCTGCCTAAGATTTATTTCCTTTTCGAAAAGGAAAACTTTCCAGATGTTTCAAATCTTGGAAAAACCCCAACCCTCCCAAATCTTAATCAGGTTAACAAATAACATAAAATAAGATTTTCACTGGAAACAAACACTAAACATAGTGAACAATTGACATGAAGGCTGAAGTAACTTATAAGAGGAAGCAGCAATGAAAAAATAATTAATAAAATAATTAAAGGACAGATTACAAATAGATAACCGCAATATATTCTCCACCTTAATAGAAACAGCTTCTGCAACAGAAGTTACAGGTGCTCTTTTATACTCTTTAAATATCACCGCCCACCCTTGCCTCAAATTCTTATGTTAGCTATGGGCCTGCCCTGCACAGAAAGTACGTCAAGGTGGGTTCTAGGTGAGTTACTTTGCAGAAGACATAGGAGAACTACCCACAGAAAGTCTAAGACTTTCAGATCATTGATTTTTATTTATGATTTTTATTTTTTTAAATCTGTCTTTTGTCCCAAAGGCAGGAGATTCTCAGAGCTGAAGAAGCTTTTTGGATGAGAAGTAAAATGTCTTCAAAGAAAAACCAAAGTCCACTTGCCTTTTGAAAAAGCACCATGACCTGGATGACTGAGAAACTCCAGACATTTATCCTGCCTTTATTACTTTTATAAATAACTAAAAAACAGTGAACATATCTAATACGTCTTCCTCTTCCTGTTATCCCCATAACAACCACTCTGGGAGATGAATTGGGCTGAGGGAGATTGATTGGCCCAAGGTCACCCAGCTACCATTCAAGCCTGAAGTGGGAATAGAACTCACAATTTCCTGATTTCTAGCCTGGTGCCTTAGCCATTAGAGTCTCTAGACCATAATGCTTTTACACTGTTTCTTGTAACACTTCTATGGGAGAGATCAGATGGGGAAATAGAAATTGCTCCAGGGTTGACATACCAACATGGATGTTTGATTTGTGCAGTGTCTGAAAAGCAGCCATTGCTATTAAGAATTTAATAAAGCTACTAATACAGGATTTTTGTTTTGTTTTGTTTTTGTTTTGTTGAAAGTCAAGCTATCAGATAAATCCGGAATCAGTTTTCTGGGATATGTTTCAGGGTAGATTTCCCCTTATTTAAAATAGAATAGAATAGAATGCTTTATTGGCCAAGTGTGATTGGACACACAAGGAATTTGTCTTGCTGTAAATACCCTCAGTATACATACAAGAAAGATACATTTGTCAAGAGTATGACACTTAATACATAAAGTACATGCAGTTTGGCCCGTGATCTAAGTTATGATGTCTAGGATCTGAATAGCAAACTCCATATTTGTTGTGATATCTAGGTGTACATTACACCGATCCCCAGACAGTAAACACTATTAGTGTGTGTCAGCTGTTACTGTATGTAGTATGGGTGGGGCATCATGCTGATGTATCTGGATGTATCTGATCAACAGGAGAGCAGTATAATGTATGACTTGGTTCCCTAGAGCAAACTGGTGTTAATACATGGAAAAATGTACATAACTAAGAAATATCATCAGGTGGATGCACACTTGATGGTTGGCCACACCCCAAACTACAATATTGGAATGTGTGAATCAGCATTGTTTTAGGTGGTAACGTAAGAAACTGCTCCATAATATTCATTTCCATAAAAGTTTTGGGAGCAAAAATAAAGGAAATATTTCAACACCATACAAATCACCAAAAAACGTATTTTTTGACTGCAGCAAATTCAAAATTTCATCACTGACATAGAGAAAGTAACTGTGATTTTAGGTGTCTCTGTAATGAATATTGGGAATGAAAATTGATTGTAATATAAAATGTTTGGAAACGGACTAAGTTGAAGAAAAAAAATATAAAGTTATAGTGAACTATAAACATTAAAACCACAGAGGATGGTATAACAATTCAAGAGGACAATACCTCAGTGGGAAAGAGAAATGACTCTCCAGGTTGCTTCTAATTCAATTTGACTTTGAGTTGCATCTTGCTCGTGTATCTGTTGGAATTGGAAAAATATACTAATAAACTTGAGTGAGGGAACATTATTGAGGTTTGAGAATCAAGCTATATTGAAAAGATTATAGGGAAGATTATAGGTTTTATTGAGCCAATTAATTCTGAAAGACAGGAAGAAAGCAAATATTTCAAAGTTATACACATTCTTCATATTTGCACATTCACTTAAGGGCCAGTTTGGTGCAGTGGTTAAGGCACAAAGCCAGCTGGCTGACCTTAAGCCAGTTGCTATCCACTCCCAACCCACCTCCAATATGCTTCCTCTCTGAGGAAGGAGAAATTAATAGCAAGTGTACAGAAATGCAAAAAAGATTTAAAAATATATAAAGCAAAAATATCAAATAATCTTATACAGAATAATGCAGGGAGAGGAAACATGGTAGGAGAAGTTGGGCAGCTACAACTTAGCAAAGTGCCAATTTCTAACCTCACTCAGCATTGATATTACTTATCTACTCCACTCTTAAGACCCCCTAGAGAGGGCCATCGTGCACATCTGATAATAAATTCACTTGTTTAACCATGTGTCTGGTCCATAGTATTTTCTTTTATTCATCTCAAATCTTCACATTCTTAGTTTTAATGTGTGATCTTTAAATTCTTGAAGGGCTGGTGGATGTTACCCTCAATAATTTGCCTTCTGGTAAATGGACATGATGTAAGTAGGCCTCCATTTGCCCATACTACCACACTAAGAGTCATATGGGGTCTTTATTACACCTCCAATACTATTGTCCTTTTTCTATCCAGGTTCAGGTCACATAAAAACAAATGCAAGTTTGGTTGCTTGCCTTCTTCACTTCTGAATTGAAAACTACATGTAAAGTCTTGTGCATATCTAAAAAAAAAAAAAAGACAAAGGTTTCCCTAATTCAGTCATGTCATTCCATTTCCTTGTCAAGGGAGCCAGCATTGTCCAAAGATGCTTCTGTGGTCATGTGGCTGGCATGAGCTATAAACCGAAGCACACAGAAAGCTCTTATGTTCCCACAGAAGTGGTACCTATTTATCTACTTGCATTTAGATGCTTTTGAACTGCTAGGTTGGCAGGAGCTGGGACAAGTAGCAGGAGTTTACCTCATCACATGGTACTTGGGTCTCAAACTGCCAACCCTCTAGGCAGGGGTGGGATTCTACCAGTTTGCACCTATTCACTAGAACTGGTTGTTAACATTCTAAGCAGTTCGGAGAACTGGTTGTTAGAAGAAATTACTGGCCTAATCCTGTAAGGAAGGCAGGAAGGAAACATTCTGGTGTTGCTTACAGAAACTGCCTCTCCGTTAACCCTTATTACATTCTTGGCAGGACTAGACTTCCTGTCTCAGGAACATCTCTGGAGTTTTTTCCCCTCCTTTGCTGGTACTTTGCGTATGTGGAGTGACCATTCAAAGTTACAATGGCACTGAAAAAAGTGACATGACCATTTTTCACACTTATGACTGTTGCAGCATCCCCACAGTCATGAGAGGCCAGGCGAGGAGATATGAGTGATGTTGAGTTGGCCACACCCAGCCAATAACATGACTACCAAGCCTTGTCCACCCAGTCACATGCCCATCACCTAAGCCACACCTACAGAACCGGTTGTTAAAAATTTGGTTCCCACCCCTGCCTCTAGGCAACAAGCCCAGTGTCTTAACTGCTAGGCCACCCAGTTCAAAGTCTGCCTGTCAGGCCAAGGCTGAGTTTCAGAAAAATCATGGTGGGATGACTGCTGTGCCATTCTCTGTGGTTCCCATACATTTTTATAACAAGGTTTAAGTTCATCAAAGTCTGTCCAGTTCTGCCTTGAGCCTTTCTCATCTCTTCTGATATTTTTTTCACGAGAATGCCATTTCTTCTATCTCTTCACATGGAAAATAGTCGTTGTTTTGGGAAGTATATTTCTTTGAAGAACCACATCTTGTTGTGTTTCCTTTGAAGATTTTGTTCTAGTGGTTGTCAGTGGACCATGTAACCTGACATCTTCCTGAGCAAATCCTCTTTATGGTTTGCTTTAAATGAGTCTCTTCTAATTCATTTTCATGCAACATCCATCCATCCATCCATCCATCCCTCTACCTAAAATACAGTATATAATATAAAAATATACATTATCGCTATGCTATAACGCTGTATAATGATTGGCATTACATAATGACAATAGTGACAGTACATTAACAAACTGAGGAATGATCTATTGGTTAGCATGGCTATTTATGATTAAATAAAGTTAATAAGTGAATACATAGCTAAGCTATTCTGACATGTTCTTCTCTTAATTTCTTTCCATATAATTATATTACATATTAAGAGGACATAATTCCATGGCATCCAAAATATGAATACTCTGAATTATAAATATTTTACTCTAACATACAAACGAACACACAGACAATATGCCAGTTTTTTACTACTTGAAATCAGATGAAAATGCTCTGAACAGAAACAGAATAACAGAGTTGGAAGGGACCTTGGAGGTCTTCTAGTCCAATGCCCTGCTCAAGTAGGAAACCCTATACCATATCAGATAAATGGTTGCCCAATCTCTTCTTAAAAACCTCCAGTGTCAGAGCACCTACAACTTCTAGTGGCAAGTTGTTCCACTGATTAATTATTCTAACTGTCAGGAAATTTCTCCTTTGTTCTAGGTCGCTTCTCTCCTTGGTTAGTTTCCCTTAGTTGCTCTTGGTCAAACGGATGTTGATCTAAGGATAGGTGTTTAATCCATTTTGGCCCAGGATGTTTTGTTTTCTTGTTTCAGGACTCATTATGTAAAATCCTAGGTGCTGAAATGAAGGGTGCAATGGGGAGTGTTTTGTGCATCTACCTGTGCTTAGATAGGTGGACCTGACTGTGGTGCACAGTATAATACCTTAATTATTGTAACACCCTAAATGAGGTGCACAATACACTCATTATTAATGTATTGTAATTCTATTATACTCCACCCAATTTTCTGGCTTTCCATGATAAAATTGAACTCTAAACTAGCACACAGTCTGGGTTTGCAGAGCATATTATTGTAAAATAGGCTCAGCTAGTCAATGATTCAGTGTGTTACGGGAGCATAAACATTGCAGAGCAGACTTCGAAAATCTCAAATCCAGTTGGTTTTTCATTCATTTAAATATCCTGTTAAAGATTTTCTTATTCCACCAAGTTAACAGCCTTCATGAGTTATCCCTCTGCCTTGTTTGATTTTTGTTATTTTATTTGTCTTGTCCTCTATGATGTTATTAGTTTAATCATATTTATGATGTCAGCTGCCTCACATGCTAGGGAGAAAGCTGAATGACTGGCTGTAAACATTTTAATAATGGTGCTGTTGGGTCATACCCAAAAGACTGCAGGGGTGTATACAGACCAATATCTACTGCTCTGTGTAACATCCCCATCAAACTCCTAAGCTGAATGATTTGGGACACACCCCTATGAAGCTTCCTGTGACTCTTGTATCATGTGTGTTTGGAATGCAATGGTGGTTTCAGAAATACTTCTTGGAGTTCAACAAAAATACTGCTGTAGTAGCCACTGAACAAATATTTGGCCTCTACCCAAATGCATATACTTTCATACTGCATTCAAATTTTCTGTAAAGAAGAATTAGTGACATGTAAAACTACAGCAGAGGTTTTTTTTTAATCAGTTCCACCTATTTTATCCAATACTTACTCTGCAGATTTTGCTGCTACTTGGTGGAAATGGGGCACAGGCAGTCTTAGTGTCAATTTTAAACTAGATTTTGTAGTATCTACTTTGAACTAATGCCCAGGAGTTGCACTGACTTTGCCATTTATTTTAGATGGAAGAGGAAAATTTGTTATTTCAATTTATTATTAGCATTACATTTGGGGCACTTCCACGTAATATTCTTTCTAGTTCCTTCTTCTCTCAGTCCTTTAAACCTGAAAGTTGACTTGATAAATTGTCTTGAATTCTGCTGACCTCAGATGACATAAGGCAACCAGTACTTTCCTTCTACTTTCTCAAAAAGAGAAGCTTGTAGAAAAATAAGGTAAGGGTAAGGC